TTCCCCTGGGGTGGGGCTGTCTTCCCTCATGCGGCCCCCCTGGTGCGGATGGCGGCGGAGTGGGGGGGGTCAGAGATGCCGCCTGCGAGGAGGCTGAGGCGGTGGAGCTGCGGGTTCCTGTGTCCGCGCAGATGCCGGCGGCCGTGGCGCAGCTGGTGGTGCAGAGGGAGAGCGGCCTGCAGCACGCCCGCAAGATGCTGCACGTCGGGGAGCCCAGCGTGCGCCGCGCCGCCGTCTCGCTCCTGCGGAACCTCTCCCGGAACCTCCCGCTGCAGGACGACATTGGTGAGTCGTGGGACGCTCCCGGCGGCCGCCACTGCCAGGGATCAGACGGGGTGTCTGTCGGTAGGACCTGAGGGCACGCAGGGCGTCCTGTCAGCCGGACCCCGGAGCAGGCGGGCGTCCTGTCAGACCCCAGAGCGGGGGGCCGTGTGCTGGTCAGACCAGGGAGCTGCCCCTGTCATCGGGCCTGCGTGCTGAGAGGGAGCACTTGGGCGAGAGCGTGTCTCTGCCTGGCTGAGATGCAGGAACTCCTGGTCTCAGGAGCCAGAGGGCAGAGGGTAGAGCCAGTGCCAGGACCTGGGGACGGGCGCAGGGTCTGGCCAGCTCAGGGGAAGAGGCTGAGGCGGGAGCAGGGTCGTGTGCACACGGCTGCAGCGTGGCCCGAGGAAACGGACGTTCCTGCTGTCCGTGGGTGGGTGTCTGGGGAAAGGGCCGACACGGATGTGGAAAGTCATCACAGGGAACAAGTCCGCGTTCAGCCCTGAAGCCCCTGTCCCTTTGGGTGCCATAGGGGAACCCAGGAAGCTACAGCCGGGGCCACAGGCAGTGACACTCGTCACTCGGTCCTTTCCCTCTCGCGACTGTCCCATGTGTGCCCAGGGGGGCTGTCTCCCCTGTGCCCAGGAACTCCCTGGCTCCACCCTTCCGGCCTGCAGAGCCTCCCAGCATAGCGATGCCTCCCCCGCAGCTGAGGGGAACCACCCATCCTTCGCAGGGAGGCTTCTCGTGCAGCTCTGGAGACGGTTCTACCTGTCTGGCAGTGGCGGGGCATGTGACCCCCAGCAGGCCTGTGTGAACCACAGCCCCGTTGGACTCTGGCGGCTGCCATCGTGGCTGTTAGCAGCTACTGAGTAAACATTTCTGCACAAAGCTTTTTGTTCTTTTTTTTTTTTTGGGAGGGGGTCATGCCCTGATGGAACAATAGCACAACGGTAGGGCGTTTGCCTTGCACGCAACCAACATGGCTGACCCGGGTTCGATTCCTCCGCCCCTCTCGGAGAGCCCGGCAAGCTACCAAGAGTATCTCATCCGCACGGCAAAGCCTGGCAAACTACCCGTGATGTATTCGATATGCCAAACACAGTAGCAATTGTCACAATGGAGACGTTACTGGGCCCACTCGAGCAAATCGATGAACAATGGGAGAACTGTGACCGTGAACTGTCACACCTGGCAATGCACAGGGGTTCCTCCTGGCTCTTCACTCAGGAATTACTCCTGGTGGTGTTCAGGGGACCAAATGGGATGCTGGGAATCGAACCCCGATCAGCTGAGTGCAAGGCAAACGCCCTCCCCACTGTGCTACTGCTCCAGCCCCAAGAGCTTTTCGTTCTGAGGCATCCCACGAAACATCCCGGGGCGTCAGGCACACGCGTCTGGCCGGGGGGCCCTGCTCGGGGCCTCGGGCCCATGGTTCGTGGCACGTGGGACATGTCCCGCGGCCCTCTCAGGACCCCCATCGTCCCGCCTTTGCTCTTCCCGCAGCCAAGGAGACGCTGCCCGACCTGGTGTCGGTGCTGCCGGCCGCCGTGCCCAGCACTGAGCTGCTCATCGAGACCACGGCGTCCGCCTGCTACACCCTCAGCAACCTGGTGCAGACCAGCCTGCAGCACGCGCGCGACCTGCTGAGCTCCGGGGCACTGCCCAAGCTCATGGCCATCAGCGCAGATGACGCGTGAGTCCCGGGCCCGGGGCCTGAGGGCACGGGGGTCCAGGTGGGCTGGGGGCCGCGGCGGCAGGGACGCTCTGAGCTCGGCCTTTGCCCCTGCAGTGCCGTGTCCAACAAGGCCAGCCGGGCGGCCTCAGCCCTGCTGTTCTCCCTGTGGGCGCACACGGAGCTGCACGGGGCCTACAGGAAGGTGAGTATGCCCGGGTCAGCCCCGCGGGCCCCATGGGCGGCACCAGTGCCCACGGCCGCCCCGTCCGCTTCCCGCAGGCCCAGTTCAAGAAGACGGACTTCGTCAACAGCCGGACCACCAAGGCCTACCACTCCCTGAAGGACTGAGGGTAGCACGGCAGGGCCGCGGGGGCTGCCACCCGCCCCTGTCCCTGGTTGATGACACCGTCACCCCGGGGCTCAGCGCCCGCCCCTCCCCCTCCCTGGTTCCGGGGCCCAGATGCTGTCCGCGCACCCCTTCCACCGTGGGAGTCTTTTCCGGGCCAGCACCGAGGAGCCCGAGCCCCAGCGGCGGGACAGCCTCCCTCACCCCTCAGCTCCTGCCCGCCCCCGTCACCCTCACCCCTTCAGCCCCGTCAACCCTCACCCCCTCAGCTCCTGTCAGCCCATCAGCCCCCCTCCGCTCCCATCCCCCCCGGCAAGCAAGCGTGACCAGACCTGGCATGGACAGGACTCTCCCCTGGCGCTCAGGGATATCTGGCTTGCAGGGTCCCTGCCTGGCTCCTGGAGAGGGTCACTCCTGCCCACTTGCAGAGGGGTCTCAGTCCTGGGGCTCCCTCAGCTCGGGGACAGTCTCTGTTTCCCCAGCCTGAGTCTGCCAATGTTCAAAGGAGCCCGGGACACCAGCCCCACGCTCTCCTCAGGCCCTTCCTCACTGTGGGAGCTTGTTAGGGCACTGGGCTGGCCACTGGGGCGTGGGGGGTTCTGAGGAGGCCCTGGAGCCGCCAGGACGGGCCGTGTGGGGCTGGGCGCCGGCTCTGCAGGGCTCGGCTGGGCCGCCGGGCTCACTGGGCCGGTGTTGTCACGACCCCCTGCAGAATATTCCTGCCGTGTTTGTTGCCAGGAAGAGGCCAAAGCGCCTTTGTCTACTTTCGACCAGAAAAAATATAATAGGAAATAAATTCTCGTTTCCAACGTGAATGTGTGCGTGGGTCTTCAGGGCGCTTGGCGCAGGAAGGGCTCATGGGAAGGTCTCCGCGGGCGCAGACGTTTCTCGCTGGCCCCTCCTGGCCCTTTCCTACCCCCCCAGCCTTGTGCCCCCGCTTCCACAGATGTCCCTTCCACTGTGGCCCCTGGACTCTGGACGCACACGCACGCGTGCACGCCGTGTAATCACCCCGTGACTGCCAGCTCTTAAGGCCCTGGATGCTCAGAGGCTGCACGTCTGGACGGCCGAGACGAAAGCACCAATGCGGCCACGGACGCAAGGCCACCTGACAGCGTTTATGAGGGGAGAACAGTGGTCCTAGGGCAGACACTGCAGGCGCTGGCCCCAGAGGGCCCCATCGGAGGTGACAGCAGGGGAGCGTCCCCAGGGGCTTTCCCAACCAGAGACAGAGAGCCCTTGTCTGTTGATCCGTTTCTTCTGCTCCCTGGATCCTGGCCGGGCAGGCCTTCCCGGGCCCTAGGGACGCAGGAACCCTCTGCAGAGACCGAAACCGCCGGGTGGGAGCTGTGTGCGGCCTGTCACGGGGCCGGGACAGCAGCAGCCACCAGGGCTTTGCCCGAGACGCAGCTCGGAGGCCCAGCACGGCCAGTGAGTGACCGCCCTGCAGTGCGCGTGTCCCCGCTGCAGGCCTGCGGCAGGGCCCAGTCGGGTCAGCTGTGAAAGGGCTCCCCGAGGCCACAGGAGGGGGCGGGTCCGTCTATTTCGGGACCAAGAACAGGCTGGACTCGGCCCTGCAGGGGCAGGTACAGCTGCTGGCCGGGCCTCCGAGCAAGAAAGAGGACACAGGACAGAGAAGTGCTGGGCTGACGGGCGGGGCGGGGCGGAGGGCAGCGCAGGGGGCACCCCACGGCCAGGGCTGACTGCCCCAAGCTCTAGGAGTGCCCTGCTGGTGGCGGGCGCGCACCCCTGCGCCCCCCACCCCCACGCCCCCGGCCCCCGGGCCAGCCTTCGCTCCGCGTGGCACAGGGGCTGGCTCCTCGGCTGCTGCTGCCAGGACCCCTGCGAACGGGGCCCCTTAAGGGTCTGAGCTTGGCCCTAGAGCGGGGCTCGAGGGTGTGTGCCCCCCCCATCGGAGGCCAAGGGGCGCCCCCGCAACCCCCGCGGGAGGGCGGCCCCCGGCGAGGCGGGATGACCCTGAGGCCTCGGCGGGGCCGTCGCGGCACGCGCCGGCTGGGGCGCGGAGTCCGCGCGTGGGCGGAGGTGGCCCGCGCCCATCCACACCCACGCGCGAGGCCCCGCCCCCGCTCCGAAGCGGCCAGCGTGCGGGCGCGGGAGGGGTCGGCGCTGCTCCCGGAGACGCACCCCCAACCCGACCCACCCCCGCCCCCCGGTGCCCGCGGCCTCGGCCGGCGCCGCTCCCCGGCCCCAACCAGTGCGGGGCTCGGCCAAGCTCTCCGAGCATGCGCAGAAGCGCGCCGCAGGGCCGCGTCGCCTAGCAACCGGCGCCGCCTCCGCAGCGGGCGGAAGTGACGCGCCGGGCCCGCCTCTCCGGCGAGCGGTTCCGCTCAGCGTGGCGGAAGTGACGGTCCGGGTTCCGGGCCCCCCGGCTCCGGCTAGCGGATCCGGTCAGCGTGGCGGAAGTGACGCACCGCCAGGCCGCCCCGCCCCGCTCAGCGTGGCGGAAGTGGCGTTCCCGGCCCACCTCTCGGGCAGGCGAACCCTCCCAGCGGGGCGGAAGTGACGCTCCGGGCCCCGGCGCCCCCCCCACTCCGGCGAGAGGCCCCTCCCAGCGGGGCGGAAGTGACGCTCCGGGCTCCGGCCCCCCCACTCCGGCGAGCGGCCCCGCCCTCAGCGGGGCGGAGGCGGCGCTCCCGGCCCGCCGCTGCGCCGCTCGGCTTCCGTAGCGGGCCGGAAGTGACGCGCCGCGCCAAGATGGCGGCGCCCGCGCTGCGGGCCGTCCTGCGCCGGGCCGGGCGGGCGCGGGGGGCGCGCGGGGCGGCTTCGCGGGCGGGCGGGGGGCTGCTGGCCGAGCTGCGCGCGCGCGGGCTGCTGCAGGAGCTGTTCCCCGCGGAGGGCGCGGGCCCGGAGCTGCCCGCGCTGCTGGCGGCGCGCCCGCAGGCCGTGTACTGCGGCTTCGACCCCACGGCCGACGCGCTGCACGTGGGCCACCTGCTGGCGCTGCTCGGCCTCTTCCACTTCCAGCGCGCCGGCCACCACGCCATCGCGCTCGTGGGGGGCGCCACGGCGCGCCTGGGCGACCCGAGCGGCCGCGCGCGCGAGCGGCCGGCGCTGGAGGCGGCGCGCGTGGCCGCGAACGCGCGCGCGCTGCGGGGCTGGCTGGAGGCGCTGGCGGCGCGGCACGGCGCGCTCTTCGGCGACGGCCGCGCCTGGGGCCGCTTCTCGGTGCTGGACAACGCCGCGTGGCTGGGCGCGCTGCCGCTCGTGGACTTCCTGGCCGAGGCGGGCGCGCGCGTGCGCGTGGGCGCGCTGCTGGGCCGGCACGCGGCGCGCGCGCGCCTGCGCGCCCCCGGCGGCCTGAGCCTGGCCGAGTTCTGCTACCCCGCGCTGCAGGCCTACGACTTCTACCACCTGCTGCGCCGGCACGGCTGCCGCGTGCAGCTGGGCGGCGCCGACCAGCTGGGCAACCTGGCGGCGGGCCACGACTTCGTGCGCAGGTGGGCCCCGGGCGGGCCCCGGGCGGCGTGCACGCTGCAGGGGGTGGAACCCGGGCGGGCGGGCCCCGACTCCCGGCTCTGACCCCGGGTGGGCCCCGGGCAGCGTGCATGCAGCAGGGGGTGGAACCCAGGTGGGCCCCGGGCGGCGTGCATGCAGCAGGGGGTGGAAGCCGGGCGGGCCCCGACTCCCCGCTTTGACCCCGGGTGGGACCCGGGGAGTGTGCGGCTGCAGGGGGTGGAACCCGGGCGGGCCCCGACTCCAGGCTCTGACCCCTGGTGGCCCCGGGGGAGTGTGCGGCTGCAGGGGGTGGAACCCGGGCGGGCCCCGACTCCCGGCTCTGACCCCGGGTGGGCCCCGGGCAGCGTGCATGCAGCAGGGGGTGGAACCCGGGCGGGCCCCGACTCCAGGCTCTGACCCCTGGTGGCCCCGGGGGAGTGTGCGGCTGCAGGGGGTGGAACCCGGGCGGGCCCCGGGCGGCGTGCATGCAGCAGGGGGTGGAACCCGGGCGGGCCCCGACTCCCCGCTCTGACCCCGGGTGGGACCCGGGGAGTGTGCGGCTGCAGGGGGTGGAACCCGGGTGGACCACGACTCTCTGCTCCGCGCTCCGGGGTCACCCCTGATGGGCTCCGGGGAGCAGTGCCTGGTGCAGGGAGTGGAACCTGGCTGAGCCACGCCCTTTCCTCCCTCCTTTCTCCCCTCCCCTTTCTCACCCCTGGCGGTGCTCGGGGCCCACTCCCGGCCCTGTGCTCAGGGGTCACCCCTGGTGGGCTCCAGGGAGCTTGCGTATTGCAGGGGGTGGAACCCGGGCTGGCTGTGCTGGGCTGTGGCCCCGACCCCCTTCCCCTTCTCACCCCCGGTGGAATCCGGGCTCCACTCGGGGTCACTGCCAGTGAGGGTCTGGGGATCCTGTGCGGTGCCTGCCTACCTCAGAGCAGGTGCCTCCCGCTGGACTCTTCCTTGGGTCCCCCGAGCCCCCGGAGGGTGCAGCAGGATGTCAGGGAGCGTCCCAGGGCTCCGGGTCAGACTGCCGCCAGGGTGCAGCCAGGCTGTTGTCCTCGCAGGATGACGGGGGAGGATGTGTTCGGGATCACCGTGCCTCTCATCACCAGCACCACTGGGGCCAAGCTGGGCAAGTCCGCGGGCAACGCCGTCTGGCTGAGCCGGGACAAGACGTCCCCCTTCGAGCTGTACCAGTTCTTCGTCAGGCAGCCGGACGACACGGTCGAGAGGTGAGTCATTGCGGTCCCCCAGCTCTGCCCCTGGCCCAGCCGGTCGGGCCCGGTTGCCCCGCGGGAGGGCGTCTGTCGCCGCGGGAGACGCGGCCCGTCCCAGTGACGGGCGCCGAGGCCCAGAGGGCGAGCGCGTGTGCCCAGCGGCCCTCTCCGGCCCAGGTACCTGAAGCTCTTCACCTTCCTGCCGCTCGCCGAGATCCAGCACCTGATGGAGCTCCACGGCCGGCAGCCGGAGAGGCGGGAGCCCCAGAAGCGGCTGGCCGCCGAGGTCACCAAGCTGGTGCACGGCCAGGAAGGGCTGGACTCTGCCAAAAGGTGAGCGCGGCTTGGTGCTCGTCTGCCTCGCGGCGTTTCTGCTCCGTCCCGGTCAGGTTCGCGTCTGGGGGACGGCCTCGCCTGTCCCCCGCTTCGCGGCTGTGCCTCCCGCCCTCCCGGCTCCTGTCCTGATCGGGCGCTGCTGCCCTCTCCGTGCTCAGTATCGGGCAGGTGCCGTCCGTGCACCGCACGGGCTGTGCGTGCTGGCGTCTCCTCCCGCTCCGGCCGCCCTGCTGCCCTTCCACTCGCGGTGGGGGCTTCACGGTCACGGCTGACCCGTGGGGTCAGTCAGCTCCAGGCGGGGCGGTGCCAGCTGCTCCTCGCCCGCACGCGCTCGGCTTCTCTCCGTGTCGGGCGCCGTCGTCTGGCCAGTCTGTCACGCGTGGGAGTCTCGTTCCAGCAGGACTGGCCGGTGGCGGGAGACCCTCGGCTCTGCTCCAGCTGGGGGCTGGGGGGCCTCAGGGGACCCTGCCAGCAGGTGCAGGGGGTGGGGGCGCGGGTGTGTGTGTGTGCGCCCCGCTGGCAGGTGTTGTGTGTGTGAGACGGACGTGAACCTCGTTGTCTGTGTGTGTGTGTGTGTGTGCACGCGAGGCTGACGCGCACCCCCTGCTGGCAGGTGCACGAAGGCCCTCTACCACAGCAGCGTGGAGGCCCTGGAGGCCATGTCGGACGAGGAGCTGAGGGAGCTCTTCAGAGAAGCCTCCTTTTCCGAGCTGGTTCTCGACCCAGGGACCAGCGTCCTGGACACCTGCCGCAAGGCCCAGGCCATCCCTGACGGTCCCCGCGGGTGAGGACAGCCGCCCCACCCCTGCCCGGGGCCTGCGCCCTCCCGGGTCGCTGTGGGGGGACCCCGTGCTCCCGCCTCCTGCTCTCCTTCCCGCCGAGCAGGTCCCGTCTGCTCTGACTGGTGGCCACGAGTGACAAGCGGTCCTGCCCGCCTGTTTGTCCCCGTTTGCGTCCGGCCCTGAGGCCTGGCCCCGGCCCGTTGTGGGCTGGAGGAGACACGGCCGAGCGGCACCCGGGGCCCGTCAGACCCGAGCGCGGGGCATGCTCCGAGTCAGCTTCGTGTCTGTCGCCCCCTCCCCGGTCCCGCGCTCGGGGCCTAGCCGGCGTCTCTGTCTCTCCGTGCAGGTACCGCATGATAACAGAGGGCGGCGTCAGCATCAACCACCAGCCCGTCACCAGCCCCGAGAGCGTGCTGGTCCTGGGCCAGCACATCCTCCGCAACGGGCTGTCCCTGCTGAAGGTCGGCAAGCGGAACGTGTACGTTATCAAGTGGCTGCAGCTCTGACGGCCGGCGGGGGGGATGCGGCCCCCTCGCGGCCACGCTGGTCTCGCACGCGCCCTTAGAACCGCCACTCGCGCTGGTTCTGTCCTTGAACGCGGGAACGAGCCGTAGAAGTGATGGCGGGAATCCTGTCTGTGTCAGGATTTCTGAGCAGGACGCACCCGCCCCGCCTAGTGTGTCCCCGAGGGCCCAGTGTCCCCTGGCCTCTCATCCGCAGGGCCAGGACCGCACCCTGTGGCCACGTTAGTGTTCCAGAGAGGCCTGAGCTGTGGGGCAGACAGTGTTCAGTCCACAGCTGCCGGGGTGGCTGCCCGGCTAGTGTCCCAGGGGGCCCAGGGAGACTCCGTTGCAACACCTGTCATTTCATGGCAGTTTTATTTACACAGCAAGAACATGTAGGACCACGACAGTCACACGCGCTGGGGGCGAGGGGGAGTGTGGCCGCCCACCCGTGGCCTGGCTCGGAGACCAGTGTTTTCTGCAGCACCGTCAGGTGTGCTGGAGAAAGGTCCGACTTCTCCTTCAGACTCAGAAAGGCTAAGGCAGTCCAGCCCCCGAATAAATAAATCTCGGTTCTGATGTAAAACTGTTGAGTGTGGCGATGCCTGCGGCCGCGGAGTGAGACTAACTGGCCTCATCCTGCCTCGGGTGCATCTGGTCAGCAGGAAGCTGAGTGCCCACAGGGCGCGTGGGGGCGGGCGTCTTCCAGGGCGGGACAGACTGGGTGTGTGTGTACGGGGAACCTTAGAGCCGTTTATTGGGTTACATGTGACTCGTGCGGTAGAGTAAACCTGGGGACAGCCGGCGCGGAGTCCATAAATACACGCTGCTCGGGCAGTGGGCGTCACCAGAGGTGGGTCTCTCGGATCTCGGCGATGATCTGGCCGGCTCCCTGTAGGGCCTGCGGGAGACAGGGACGGTGTTGGCGGAGTCCCTAGGCGTCTCCTGGGGAACAGGCCGCAGCCGGGGGAGGGGGGTCACCTTCAGCATGTCCGCAGCCTCCTTCCTGCGCTGGGCCATGTCCTCGGACTCGGTGAGCAGCTCGTCCAGCAGCGAGGCCTTGTACAGCTGCCCGACCAGCTCGCTCTGGAGTGTGTCCTTCACGTGGTTCACCAGGAAGTGCATGACCGCCTTGGGCACGCTGCGGGCACGGGGGCCGGGCTCGGTTGGGCTGGGCACGCGGACCCCCGCCGGCCCAGCTCGGCCCAGTCCACACTCACCTGTCCTGGATGTTCTTCCGTACGATGAGGAAATAGGACTTGATGAGCCGCTCAATCACCTCGCAGTCACGCTGCTCGCGGGCGGACAGCTTCCGGGCCACGGGGACAGGCTGGCAGGGGGACAGGCCGGCAGGGGGACAGGCCGCCCGGTGAGCGGAGCCGGGCACCCGGCCCCCCGCCCCCCTGCCAGGCCGACGCCTCACCACGTCCAGCAGGTTCACCGCGTGGCCCTTCTGCGGGCTGGCCGGCATGATGGGAAGCGGCTGCGACTTCTCCTCGGCCAGCAGCTCCTCGGCCTTGGACGTCTTCAGCATGCCTCGCCAGCTGCCGGCCGCGGGCTCCTGCACGGCGTCCCCAACTCCCCCGGCCCCCGGCGCCGCCTGGAAGAAGGGGGCCTGCGCTCGGTGCCTGGCAGCAGCCGGCAATCGGGAGAGCAGGCGGGCGGCCAGCCCCTCGCTCCGTCCTGGCCAGCGTGGCCCCTTCCTGTCCTGCCCAGCCTGTGGACACTCCCAGTGTCTGCACCACCAGAGGAGCCCAGGGCCGGGCCATGCCCGCCCCGCCACAGGGAAGCCAACACACAACGTGCAGAGCCTGGGCAAAGGGCCCCGACACCACAGTCTCACGTGGACAGACTCAGGCGGGCCACAAAGGGGCAGTGTGGCAGGAGGTGGGGGACACTGAGCCCGCGCCCCGCACGGCTGCATCTAGGGCCACCGTGCAGCGGGGAAGCCGAGGCAGACTGCCGTCGGGATGTCCGTGTGACGCTAAAAGCCGCTTAGCCAGAACGAAATTGTCCAGTGAAATCGCGAGCGAGTCCAGCAGAGCTAAGACCCGAGGGGCCCGTGACGGCGGCCGCGCCCCACGACAAGACCCGGGCAGGAGGGAGCGCGCCGCCACGCCCGGCCTTCCCGGAGGCGGCCAGGGACCAGCGGGGACAGCGGACGGGGAGAGGCGGACGACAGGACAGACACGGCCTGCGGGTTCAGGGAGAACCGCAGGGAGGACACTGACGTTCTGAAACAGACTCACATGTTTAGTCTCTCTCCTGCTGTCCTGAATTGACTGTTAAGAGACGGTTAAAACGTGCAGTTTAACAGCCTGGCGGGCGCGGGCGGGCCGCCTCGCCTCTGAGCATGCGCGTCCCCCGGGGCGCGTGCCGGCCGGCCGGCGGGTGGGCCAGCACCCAGAGTGGCGGGGCCCGTGGGAGCATGCAGGCGGCGGACGCACAACAGACCTTGCCGTTGGCCTCGGCAGAAGCAGCGGGGGAGGGCTCCTGGGGGGCGGGTGCCAGGGCGCCGGGAGCCTTAGAGGACTGGGGGCAGAAAACGCAGACAGTCACGCGGCCGGGCGCGTGCGCCACCACCGGGACGCTGGCTGCCTCGAGCTGCTCTATCTCCTACGGCGCGTCCTGGCTGGGCTGGAGCTCGGCGAGGCCCGCGCCCCCCACCCCCCGGCGACCCCCACGGCACGACCATCTGGAGCCCCGGGCCCTGGGGTCCCTGCTCACCTTGTCTCGCGACGCGGCTGAAGGCAGTTCCCTGGCCAGCCTGTTCCTCCTCTGCTCCTGCCAAACAGACAGTCAGGGCCTGGCCGCAGAAGCCACGGGCCAGCACCGCGCCCGGGCCTCGCCGGTCCCCTCAGGGCTGCTCCCGCGGCAGCACGAGCCACCACCCCGGGCAGAGAAGCGCCTCACGCTCAGCGGCATGGATGGGCGCGCTCAGCGCAGGGGCTGTCCGGGCAACACCCGTCTCAGCTGCGGAGCGCGGAGGGGCCGGGAGCTGGCGACCTTCAGGGTAAGCCACCGGCCGCGCCGAGCCCTTGTGCACCCCCCGTCCTCAGCTGGGCGGGTCTCGGCACCTCCCTCCCTGCGGCCTGGCACAGGCCTGACGCGCCCCGAGTTCCAGCGGGACAGTCCGCACCGAGGTGCACCGGGCTTCCTGCAGGAATGAGGCCAGAACCACTGCCCTGCACGGGGAAGACCCGGGGGTGACCCTGGAGGCCGGGACGTGGGGTGGACCAAGACGGAGCCTCCAGACCAGCCATCTGGGTGTCCAATGCAGCTTCAGCCACATGAGCTGCTTGCGTTCAGGCTTGGCTCTGCCAACACCCATCACTGGCCATCACCGGCCGCGGCAATGCCACCTTTCCTGCACTTGACCTCCCTGGGACAATGTCCTGCAGGTCCCCGTGGCCACGTTACCTCTATATTATTGTTCATCAGACCACAGGCGTCTGCGAAGTCGGGGTGCTTTGTGTTGATGTAAGCCAGCTCGATGGCCACCAAGTTATGGACCTGGAAAAATAAGCCCGGAATAACCAAACTCGGAACCACGCTCGGTGGCTGACGTGGCCCAGTGGGGATGCAGGGACCCACTCGGTGACTCCCGTAAGCGTTAAAGCTGGTGCGGGATGACACCAATGGCCCGAATGGCTGGAATATGCAGCCCAGCAGAGGGAAAGAGGTTTGGTGCCTTGTGCAGATCCAAGTTCCAAGTTCCAAGGCCTCGGCCCAGCTCCCTGGACACTCGAGGCAGCTGCTCTTCCCCCGCCAACGTCTCAGTGTTTACTTTTGGCTTTGGGGGCCACTCCAGTTCCACGCTCAGAAATTACTCTGCGCCAGGGGCCCAGCTGTCCACCAAGTCAGTCGAGCAGGCCGAGGTCAGGGCCAGTGGGGCATGGACAGCCCGTCCCCGTGCTGCTGCCCATGCCAGGCTCTCACTGTCAGGACCACTGAAGGCTGGCGGCAGAGGGAAGCTGCCGGACGCGGAGGTGCCCGAGGCCCCGCGTGCAGTGACGCATGACACCACCAGGGCAGCAGCCCCTGCCACATCCGGGCCTCGGGGACAGGGACGGGACCCGCTTCCTCCCGGACCCGCGGGCAGCGCCCGGACTGTCGGCCGGGGCCTCCCTCGCGGCCGAGCCCACTCACCATCTCGTTGGTGACCGGCAGCCGCTTGCGGAGGAGGCAGGTCACCACTTCCACGATGGCGTCGTGGAGTTTGGGGAAGCGCAGCAGCTCCTGGCGAGAGGCGGCGGCCGTCAGCGGACCCGACCCGCAGCCGCCGCCCGGCAGGCACCAGCCCCGCCGCCCCGCCCGGCGCCCGCGCGCACCTGGCCCCGCACCTGCGTGCTGTAGTTGCTGCAGTGCTGGATGATGCGCTGCATCTCCTCGTGCACCAGCTCCACGCAGCGCAGGCTCGGCTCCTCCAGCCGCTTGATCTGCCGCTTCACCAGCAGCTCGAAGGAGACCTCGGGCACGAAGAGCGCCGGCCGGGGGCCCTGCGGGAGGGCGGGCGGCTCGGCTCGGGGGGGCGGAGTCCGGCGGGGGCTGGCCGGGAAGCGCGCCCTGCACCCCCACCCCCGGCCCGCCGCCCACCCGAGCGGCTCTCACCGTGGCGTTCCTGATGGCCGTCAGGATGTCGATGGTGTTCAGGCCGCCCAGCGGGTCCACGGACTCCAAGGTCCGCCCAAAGGTCTCGTGGAAAATGTAGCAGATCCTGGCACCGCCACACCTGCAGGCGACAGCCTGTGTGACTGGGCGGGGCTGTGCGGGGGGGGGGGGGGGGGGGGGGGCAGGGAGAGGCAGGGAGGGGCGGCAGGGGCGGCAGGGAGATGGCCGTGAGGGCCGAGCCTGAGGCCCCGAGCTCTGTGCTCCCCAGGGCACCCTCAGGAGGCCCAGAGCAAACAAGCGTCCTTCCCGAAGGCGTCCGGCGTTGACTCGGGGAGGGTCCCCGAGACCCCTCCCCAGCACCACGTGGCTGACCTATCCCGAAGCCCCCGCAACCCATGTCCTCCTGTGCTGGTCGTGGAGGCTGCTCTACGCAGTCACACAGACACACACAATCACGTGCTCACATGCACTCGCACTGTCACGCACGCACACATTCATGGGCACACACGAGCACACACTCATGTGCACTCCCATGCAGACACGGGCACACGTATACACACAGGCAGTTACATAGGCACTTACACGTACACACGGACAGACACACGCCCACACACATGCGGACGTGTGCAGAGACACACGGGCACACACCAGACAGATACGCACACCTGCACATGCACGGAGGGGGCAGGGGCAGGGGGTCTCCCTGCACGAGTATTTGCTCAGTCCTGCCCGGCAGCCCAGGAGGTGGCTGGGAGGGCGGTCCTGGGACCTGGCCTGAGGCTCCGTGTGCAGGAGACCCAGCGGGCCTCCGCCCCGATGTGGCCGGGACCAAACTCCCTGCAGCACAGCTGGCGCACAGAGACCGTCTAGCGGCAAGCGAGGGAGACGTGGCCGGGCAGAGGCGCCCAGAGGCACAGGGAGAAACATGGAGGGTGCCCGGTCGGGAGCGAGCAGGGAAGGCACGAAGGCGGCCTGCTCACGCGCCCCCCGCCCCCGAGTCGTTACACGTCGCAGCCCCAGAAAACCAAACGGCGAGGTTCTCCTAAATGCTTCCGCGCTCGAATGTTGTTTGTAGGGTCGAAGACAGTGTGACTTGCCCTGCGCACAGCTGACCCGGGTCTGACCCCCGTCCCTCGGGTGCCCCACGCCCCACCAGACTGATCTGAGCTCAGAGCCGGGGGAACGCCCAGGAGCAGCAGCCGGGGGGGGGGGGGGGGTGGGGGGCGGGCGCGGCCCACTCACAGCTCCGACGTCTCGATGTACTTGGCCGTCCCCTCGATGGTGTTGCAGTACTCCGTGGCGAACTTGGTGATGAGCTGGAGCAGGGTGGCGCTCTTGTCGTCCACCGGCTCGCCGTAGCTGTTCAGGAGCGACTGGTACTGGGCGGCCAGGACGTTGATCCTGGTCTTCAGCTCGGGCAGGCAGTCGCGGATGTGGTGCATCAGCAGCCTGGGGACGGGGCGGCTCAGCGCGCGCAGGGACGGCCGGGCCCGGGCTCGGCACACCCTCCTGCCGCCCACCGGCCGGGGACAGGAACAGGCGGAAACAATCGCGCCCACCGGGAACCAGCGGGAGGCCCACGGGAAACCCCTCAGGCTCTGCGCTGACCGCAGGAGAGTAGAAACCCTCGGCCCAGTCGCGGCCGCCTCCACTGTCACCCAAACCAGCCTCGTCGGGCCCCACGTCCATCAACCCTCCTTCCTGCCTTGTTGCTTTTGAGCCCTTGGGCCATGCCCAGCGGTGCCCAGGGACCGCACGTGGCGTCGGGATGAACGCCAGGTCGGCCACATGCAGGACCCACGCCCTCCCCGTCTCCATCCTGCAGTCGCTCTGGTCCCGGCCTTCCGCGTTTCAAGGGGACAAGACGAAAGGACGAGGGGCTTCCCCCCCCCCCAGGGCAGCCGCTGCCTGTGGTGCTTCTGCCAGGGCCCGGTCAGGGAGGACCGTCCTTGCACCTCGCCGCGAGGGGACACGGGACATCACCTGCTCGCCGGGTCTCCCTGCAGACCGCGGGAGAGGCCGCTCACCTGTTCAGAGTGCGGGCGAGGTACTTGGTCCCGTTCCTGGTGGCCAGGGACGGGTACTTCTTCTGCAGGAACGCGTACTCGTCACGGATCGAGTCCGTGACACTCTTCTTATTGTTGATGTCCAGCTGGCTCCTGCGGCCGACAACACACGGGGCAGCTGAGGGACCCGCATCCGCCACACGCCCCTGGTACCGGTGGGGACTGGGCACTCCCTCAGCTCAGGCCGGGGGCTGCAGAGACGGCGGACAAGGTCACTGCATGTGGCCACAGTGGCCCTGCCCATGGCGGCGCCAAGACGACCACCTGCACGCCACAGCTGGGCCGGCAGAGAGGGGCGGCCAGCAGTGAGCACCGTCCACTGCCCTGGGAGAGGCCTGGCCCTGCTTTCTGGGGCTCACACCTGCAGTGCTCAGAAGTCACTGCTGGCAGGACTTGGGCAGCCAAGGGGGTGCTGGGGGAGCCCAGGGTGGGCAAGGCCAACGCTCTCCTGCAATCCAACCGCTCCAGCCACGAGCACATGGTTATCTAGCAGAGAAAATTCTAGAAGGGCCCAGAAGGGGCTCCAAAGAGCCCCACGCGTACCCGGGGCATCCCCCCCACCCCGCTGACCTGTTGACGACCCCGATGATGCCCAGCTTGACTGGGATGACCCTTCCCATCAGCACGTCCATGGCGTCCGTGCCCGCGTCCATGAGGTCGAGCTTGGTGATCACAGCCAGGGTCCTGCGGCCTGCAACACGGGCACAAGGGGACGGACGGGTGTGAAGCACGGACCAGGGCCACGCTTGGCCCAACCGCGTCCTTAGCCCCACCAGACCCCCAAACGGTCACTCCCCCGCACTGCCAGACGCCCCCCAATCATGTCTGAACCTCACGCTTGACTTTCGAGACCGTCACATGTGCTCCTGTCCTCTCGAAACACTGAACAGGTCTCAACTCGACTTTTCCTACCAACAGTTTCGTGAGACCGACAACTGCGGACCGTCTGGCACAAGACCCAGAGACGGAGGGTCCATCCTTGACCTCTCCCTGGCCCTGACTTCCTGCGTGCTCACAAACGTCCTTCACGGCCTCGACTTTTCGAAGTTCCTGGTGCTAAGTTCCTCAAAAGCTCAAAACTACAGCAGAAGGGCCGGGGCTGGGGGCCTGCAGTGAAGCAGGTGCACCCTGGGTGGACACTGGCCTGGGTCCTATCCCCAAGGCCACAGAAGACAAAATGTGTGTGTGTGTGTGTGTGTGTGTGTGTGTGTGTGAGAGCGTGTGCATGTGATGTGGGCATGTGTGTGCATACAGGTGTATAAATAAACACGTATGTACTGTGACTAACGCAACCGTCTCTGACTGCCTTTTCATACCAACTTAATTCCTCAATACGGAAGCAAGCTGTGACCCCGGCAGTCATCTCTGCCGGACGTGGGCACCCTGCCCCAGGGGTGCCCTGCCTCCCGCCAGCTCTGCTCAGCCCCGCCCAGCCCTGCCCTGCGGGCACACAGTGGCCTGAAGCAGGCGCAAACCTGGGCATTCCCACGGCTACTCAGGACGCTGCCCCCGGCTGAGTCCCTTGCCCATGTGTGAGCGGACACGTCCACGCCGCAAGGCCGAGACTCCCGGGCAAATGACCCTCTCCAGAGCCGCCGACCCGAGCGAGACACTGACCCCAGGACACGGGAGGACTCGGCGCTGGCCAGCCTGGAAGTCCTGCCCCGCCCCCACTCACCGTCCGGGTCCACCTCCCTGGAGATCTTCAGCGCCTCGGAGGTGGCCATGTCCGTGTTGGCGGCCGTGACGGCGAGGATGATGGAGTTGGGGTTGCTGATGAAGCGGAGAATGAGCTCCCGGATCTGCAGCTCGATGTCCTTGGGCTGGTCCCCCACGGGCACCTGAGGGCGACACGCGAGCTCGACCCCCGGGCCACGGGGGGAGGGGATGGGGTGGGGGGTGGACGGACACTACCCAGGGCCGAGGGACCGGGAAGGGACGAGTGGTCTGTGCAATGGCCCCCACGTGTGGCCCAGACACCGGAACTCGCGTGAGCCGCTTGGTCCTCGCCCAGGCAGCGAAGGCCAATGCCAATACTCGGGGGCAGCAGGGGCGGACGGGGGGCAGGAGGCGGTCAGGCCCGGCAAGGGGCTGGGCTGGGCCAGGCTCATCCGAGGCATCGGGGAGGCCCCACGCCGACAGCCAGGGACAGAGCTGGAGGAAGGTGGGGCAGACACTGGCCCGGGGAGGAGCCAGCTAAGTGCTCCCGGCAGTGCTCCCAGGGCGGTACTGGGCAGAGCCGCTGAGGATGGGGCCACCACGAGGGCAGTGGGCAGCGGTGGCTGGCACGGCTCTGGGGTCCCAGTGTGGACCGCCCCGAGGTGCCCACCTTGGTCATTCCGGGCAAGTCCACGAGTGTCAGGTTGACGACGTTGGGTGAGAAGATCTTCAGGTGGATGGGCTCGGGGCTCACGCCCTAGGGTTCGAATCAGACACATGAGGCACCGACCGACCGGCATCCGGCAGCTCTGAGCACGCAGGAGCCGCAAGTGTGGCCCCTATCAGCCACCACACAGGAGCACCCCACCGTGAGTGGGCGCCGACACCGAGTCCGGGGAGTCACACCCGGCCCCCGTGCCGTCCGCTGAGACGGGGCACTGACAGCCCTGGGAGACCGGCCACGGCCGTGCGGGTCCCCACTGGCCTTTCCCTGCATGGGCACAAGGCATCAGCACAGACACTAGGAAGCGAGTGCGCGCGGGCGCCCGGCCCAGTCCCAACCCGGTCCCATGAGTCCCGGCGCAGTCGCGTGGCTCAAAGCCCGTCTCAGGCCGACGGGGTTCACTGTGTGGGGCAGACGCTCCCGGCTACTCGGAGCTACCTACCTTATTATTCCCCGAAATCCTTTCCGTTTCATTTTCGATTTCTTGTCGAATCTCATCGAAATCTGTATAAAGCTGAAGACCACAGACGCCGGGTCAGCGCGTCAGCGTGAGGGAGAGTCGCCGGGTCAGGCCCGACGGACGGCCACCCCGTGGACGGCTGCTCCCCGCCCGGCCGTTACCTTGTTCTTGGTGTGGAGAAACTTCCCCCATTCTTCCGCCTCGACCCCTGGAAGAGGAGAAACGGGGTGAGCGTGAGAAGGGGACTCGGAGGGGACACTGCGGTCGGCCCGGTCGCATCAGGTCCGGGACAGTCCAGGGGCCGCAGGAGGAGCCCCGAGCACCCCGGGCACAGAAGCGGGGCGGGAGCAAGTGCACGGGCACAGGGAGGAGCCGAGACCCGGCGATGGACAGCAGGGCTGAGGGGCAGCGAGGGGGGGGGGTCTGTGCGGCGAGGCCTCCCCTCAGCACCTGGGCCTGGCCTGGCCCGTCCTGTCTCGGGCGGGAGCCCAGCCCCCTCCCCCAGACTCCTGGTGCCTCTGGAGGGCAGGAAGGGCCTGGGCGGAGAGTGCTGGGGAGGGTGGGACGCAGGCACAGCCATGTCCAGCCAGCGGGGGGGACAGTCCCGGCATCTCGGGATCAGGGTAGGGAGAACAGAAGCAGCCCCGAGCACCCGCACGCAGCTGTCTGAGCCAGAGGGCCCGTTCTTTCACGCCCGTGCGTTTCTGCGCCCCACTTGCTCGGGGCCCCCACCGGCAGGCCTGGAGCTGGGACTGAGCGAGCCGTGCCCAAGACGAGTGCCCACGGCCCGGGAGGAACAGGAGCCCTGGCCCAGCCCCTCCTGCCGGAAGGGCCAGCCAGCGTGGGAGACCACCCGGCGGCACCGGCAAGGCACTCAGAGCAAACGGCCGGCCAGGCCCCACCCCGAGCCCGCCCGCCAGGCCAGGAGCAGGGCGCGGCACGGAGAAGCGGGGCGGCCGAGAAGCGGAGGGCACAGCGGGGGCAGGAGGCATGCGGCCGGGCCCGCGGGGAGACCTTTGCTGGGGTGTCTTGCGTTTTTCCAGGCGGCAGGGTCTGCGTTGAGAGAGACAGCACAGAAGGAGAGTTCAGAGCCCGCCCGCACCCGGCCACAGAGACCCCCAGAGCGCACGGGCCCGGCCGGCCATGGGGGGACGGGGACCCAGGGAAGGGAGCAGCCCCACATGATCTTGCTGTCCAGTGACCGAGTGACTCGGGCCCGCCCGGGAGCACCTGCCTCACACGGGGGAGTCCTGGGTGTCCCCCCCCCCCCACCCCCCTCCCCCTGCGAATAGCCACCAGGCCCCTGGGTGTGGCCCTGGAGATCCCCAAGCAGCCGGGAGACACAGACACGCCTCCTGGGCCTCTGGGTCGCAGGAGCTTCCAGAAGTTCCTTTCACGACGAGTGACGTGGGTTCAGCTCCCTCGGCACTCTGCCTGGGGTCCGAGGGTCGCTGGCTGCTGGGCCCCAGGGTCATGGAGCTCCGGGTCCGAGCTACACTGCCCAGTCTGTGACTCTGCTTTGGGGAGACCGTGCCCGGGCAAAAGGGACAGGCCGGCAGGATGGGGCAGCTGCCAACTGCTCTGGGCAGGCGCCTCGCGGGCCGGAGCACCAGGGTGACGGCAAGCGGACCAAGTGCCCGGGCCAGGAGCCCCAGCTGGGGAAGGCACGTGGAGGAACTAAGCTTAGGAACCACAGGCAGAGCCAGACCGGGGCCCTGGCATGGCAAGACTGGACCAAACCCGGCGGCCCAGGCCAGCCCCAGAGACATGGGACGGCGGACACAGCAGACAGGCCCCGACTGTGACCGACCGCCTCCCTCAGCCACAGGAGGGGCTGCAGGGAAGAGCCTCCCACTCAGCCTGCCCCAGTGCCCAGGGGTGAGTCGGCGCGCAGAGAGCCCCGGGCAGGGACTCGGCGTGGAGCCCCGCCCAGGGAGCCGCGGGGGAGGCCTGGCCCCGGTGAGATCCCTCCATCCGGGGCTGGACGGGGCAGGTCAGGGCAGTGAGGCAGACCCGATGCCCCCCGCGCAGGAGCAGCTCCCAAAGCCCCAACAGACACCCAGACCACAGACGCTCCAACAGCCGTCCCAGCCCTGGGGTCAGGGCCAGGCCAGGGGACAGCGCCCTCTGGCAGGAAGGCCTGGCCTCGCCACTGAGCGCCAGGGAGTCACGCGCAGGGACAAGCCACCAACGGCATGGGAGCCGCTCCAACGGGCAGCTGCTGTCTCTAGCTCACTGCCCGCACGGCCGTGCCCGCACTGACCACTCGCACACTGACCACTCCTGCACTGACCGCTCCTGCACATTGACCACTCCCACACACTGACCACTCCCGCACACTGACCGCTCCTGCGCACTGACCACTCCTACACTGACCACTCCCACACTGACCACTCCCACAGTGACCACTCCTGTCCTGACCACTCAAACACTAACCGCTCCTGCTCACTGATTGCTTGCACACTGACCGCTTGCACACTGACTGCTCCCACACACTGACCATTCCCGCACACTGACCGCTCCTGCACTGACCGCTCCCGCACCCCGGCCTCTGAGGGGAGGGTCTGCGCAGGGAGCACGTCCTGGGCAAGCAAGGGCAGACGACAGGGGCAGAGCCGCCCCGACTCGACCCCGAGCCCGAGAGAAGAGCGGAAGCTGCCCCGGCCCGGGCGGCCCCGCTGGACGCACCGTTGTCCTCGCCGGCCGTCTTGCGCTGGTCCTCGGGCGCCACATGCACCAGCTGCAGGATGAGGGGCCTCCGGGTGACGATGCCGGTGCCCCGCGGAAGCAGGTCCCGGCCCACCAGGCTCTCCAGCACCGAGCTCTTCCCGCTGCTCTGGAACGGAAGGACACGGTCAGCAGCCCCAGGGAGCCTCGGCCGGCCGGGGAGAAACCCCGAGCGGGAGAGACGCCCCATGGCCGGCCGTCGGCACCTGCGCAGAGCCGCACACTCACCCACAGGGCCGCCCTGGGCCTCCGCAGGCAGCAAGCAGGGACCGCTGGCCGCCCCAGGCGGGAGCCCTCTGTCCACCCCACATGGGGACCCTCTGTCCACCCCACACAGGGACCCACTGTCCACCCTCAGAGACCTGCTGTCCACGCCAAGCAGGCAGAACTGTCCATCCCACACAGCGACCTGCTGTCCACAGGCCAGCGTCCCTGGGGTGTGCTCGGGCCCAGCACACCCTCTCGCTGCCCTGCCCCCGCACGCGGCAATGCCCACCAGGCCCGGGGGACCTCACTCGGCCTCGAGCTGGACTGGGGCCCCTGCCCACACACCCACTGCCCGCTTCACGGGGCTGCTCTGAGGCTTTCTGGGCCCGGCGTTTTCTGAATCGAAAAGTGGCAGGATGCAACCGCCGACAAAACTCTGGTGCACACGCAAAGAGCACGTGGGAGGAGAGAGAGGAGGAAGATGAGCCGGCTCTAACCCGTCAACACGGGGGGCGCCGGGGCGTAGAGGGCGAGGCACGGAGGGCGGGCACCTGCCTTCCTGCCGGGTCCCTGAGCGCCGCTGGGTGCGCCTCAAGCCCCCCGATCCCCGGGACAAACTCGGGGTCTCTGATACGACGGGGGCGACACTGCCGAGAGGACAGGCACGGGGGAGGACGGTCCGGCCCGGCCCCATCAGCACAGCGGCGCTCTGCAGGGGACAGACCGGCCCCCCCGTGCGCGAACAAGCCAGGAAGACCAGAAGGTTTAAGCGGCTCCGAGAAAGAAGAAAACCGGAGACGGACCCTTCCAGAAAGTGACGGCAGTCGGGCAGGCAGGAAGGGGCAGACCCAGAAATAAACACAGCCGGGGACACCTAATCTAGACCGCGGGCAGCCAGCCGGCAGGAAGCGCCGGACAGAGCCGGAACCCAGGACGGCAGAAAACAACCCGCCCCGCCCCCGGGGCCAGACTCGATGGTGGCGGCTGACCGGCAGCACACGCTTCCTAGGGAACTCGGGTGCCTGGGAAGCCGCACACGCCTGGCACACGCCAGCACCCTCCCGCCGCCGAGCTACCCTGGGGAGCTCAGGCCGCTGGCACTGCTGCAGAGCACAGCCCTGAGCTGTGGTGACAGCCGGACGCGCTCTCCTCAGCCCCACCCCTGCGGCCCGCAGAGCACAGGCCCTGGCCGGGGGGGTTTCCGCATGCTCTGGCCCCGGGGGTCTGTCTGGCGTCCCTGAAGAGTGGGGAGGAAGCCCCTTCGTCAGCACCCTGCACGGGGCAAGGGGTGCCGGGCGCAGGGAGGGCTCAGGAAGAGCCGCCACCAGCCAGGCGCAGGGGGAAGTGCCACCCTGCTCGCCCCTGCACTCACCCCTGCACAGAGGACTCTCCACTCACCCCAACCCTGAGTGCCCCACTCACCCCTGCAGATACCCCCTACTCACACCTGCAAATGCCCCCTTACTCACCCCTGCACAGAGAACCCCCCCTTACCACTGCAGACACCCTCCATTCACCCCTGTGCAGAGCCCCACTACCCCCTCCACAGACACTGCCTCACCCCTGCAGAGTCCCCAATCACCCCTGCAGAGTCCCCCCCACTCACCCCTGCAGAGTCCCCCACTCACCCCTGCAAAGTCCTCATTCACCCCTGCAGAGACTGCTCCTTACCACTGCCAGAGACCCTCACTCACCCCTGCAGAGACCCTCCATTTACCCCTGCAGATACCCCCTACTCACACCTGCAAATGCCCCCTTACTCACCCCTGCACAGAGACCCCCCCCTTAAAACTGCAGAAACCCTCCACTCACCCCTGCAGAGACCCTTCACTCACACCTGTGCAAAGAGTCCCACTACCCCCTCCACAGACACTGCCTCACCCCTGCAGAGTCCCCCCACTCACCCCTGCAGTCCTCAGTCACCCCTGAAGAGTCCCCCACTCATCCCTGCACTGTCCTCAATCACCCCTGCAGAGTCCTCAATCACCCCTGCAGAGTCCCCCTCACTCACCCCTGAAGTCCCCCACTCACCCCTGCAGAGTCCCCAATCACCCCTGCAGAGTCCCCCTCACTTACCCCTGCAGAGTCCCCCTCACTCACCCATGCAGAGTCCCCTCACTCACCCCTGCAGAGTCCCCCCACTCACCCCTGCAGAGTCCCCTCACTCACCCCTACAGAGTCCCCCCACTCACCCCTGCAGAGTCCTCAGTCACCCCTGAAGAGTCCCCCACTCATCCCTGCACTGTCCTCAATCACCCCTGCAGAGTCCTCAATCACCCCTGCAGAGTCCCCCTCACTCACCCCTGAAGTCCCCCCACTCACCCCTGCAGAGTCCCCACTCACCCCTGCAGAGTCCCCCCACTCACCCCTGCAGAGTCCCTCTTACCCCTGCAGAGTCCCCCTCACTCACCCCTGCAGAGTCCCCCTCACTCACCCCTGCAGAGTCCCCTCACTCACCCCTGCAGTCCCCCCACTCACCCCTGCCGAGTCCCCTCACTCACCCCTGCAGAGTCCCCCCACTCACCCCTGCAGAGTCCCTCCACTCACCCCTGTAGAGTCCCTCTCACTCACCCCTGCAGAGTCCCCTCACTCACCCCTGCAGAGTCCCCCCACTCACCCCTGCAGAGTCCCCTCACTCACCCCTACAGAGTCCCCCCACTCACCCCTGCAGAGTCCTCAGTCACCCCAGAAGAGTCCCCCACTCATCCCTGCACTGTCCTCAATCACCCCTGCAGAGTCCTCAATCACCCCTGCAGAGTCCCCCTCACTCACCCCTGAAGTCCCCCACTCACCCCTGCAGAGTCCCTCTTACTCACCCCTGCAGAGTCCCCCTCACTCACCCCTGCAGTCCCCTCACTCACCCCTGCAGAGTCCCCCCACTCACCCCTGCAGAGTCCCCTCACTCACCCCTGCAGAGTCCCCCCACTCACCCCTGCAGAGTCCCCTCACTCACCCCTGTAGAGTCCCTCTCACTCACCCCTGCAGAGTTCCCCTCACTCACCCCTGCAGAGTCCCCCTCACTCACCCCTGCAGAGTCCCCCCACTCACCCCGCCTGTGGCCCTCCACGCCTCCTCACTCCCCGGCCCTAAGCTCACAGCCATCGGATGGCCCGGGGCGCCTTCCACCGGGCAGGTGGGCCTAGAGGGAGCTTAGGGTTTGTGGAGAGAGCGGTTCAAGCAGCTTCTCGTAGATACTGTTACTGCAGACAACTTCAGGGGTTACCTTTCTATCCTACGTGTTCTGGGAAACTACAAAGAGATGAGGAAACCATTTTAGAGGCCGGGGTGGTGGTACAGTGGGCACTTGCCTTGAGCTATGGGCATGATGTATTCATGTGCAGGGTGAGCTGTGTGCAGAGGTGAGCCGTTTGTACAGGGATGAAATATGTGCAGGGGTGAGCCACGTGCGGAATAAGCTGTGCGCATGGTTTATTGGCTTATTCGTGTGCAGGGGTGAGCCGTGTGCATGAGCTGCACCACCACGTTTAATGCCACACTGTGAGCACTGGGGTCGGTGGCCCGGGCTGTGAGCACTGAGCGGTGCCCGCAGAGCCCGACCTGTGGTGAGGCTCACCTCCTTCCCGTCTTCCTGCTCCTGCACCCCCCGAGGACAGGGAGGAGCCGCATCTGACCAGACCAGACCAGACGGGGTGGCCAGCACGACTCCGGCAGAACCAACTCCAGACGCCACGAAGGCCGGGGTGGGCTATTAGGGAAACGACCGCTTAAGGAAGCCCAGGGTCAGCCGGGGCTGCCAGGAGCTGACCAAGACCCCCGAGGTCCTCAGTGCCGCGCGTGACCTCACGGTTGCCTCCGTGCTTTCCACTTTTCAAGCTCCCGAATCAGCGAGTATGCCTGGCCCCGCCCGGTCTCGGGGGACCCACTCATGGGGAGCGTGAAGGGCTGGGCACCACGGCAGAAGCTGCTGAAGACACGACTCACCAGAAAAATACCAACCAGGCCGCTGTGGCGGGGTCCTTGCTCAGGGCTGGCTGAGGCCTGGGGGCCCTCAGGAGTCAGGCCCAGAATCCCCGGAGGACCCAGCAACTCTGCCCTAAAGAGCTGGGCGGCGGCCCCCTGTGCCCCGGGAGCGGGCAGACCCCGGGCTGAGTGCCGGGAGGGCCCGTCGGTGCTGCAGCACTGCGGAAGGAGCTCCGGACAGACATGGGACAGACCCCGCGGGGCCCAGGGTTGGCGAGGGGCACACGCCCTTTCCCAGAAACGGGGGATTCAAGAATGATCTAGCATTTCCAGCCCCACGGCAAGGAGACCGGCGAGGAGGTGCAGGGATGGGGCCCTCACCACACCCAGCCACGGCACCCACCAGCCGCCAGCCCGGAAGTGAACACGCACGCGCCCAGGAGCCCGGCAGAGCAAGGCCCATCTCTCCCACCCTCAAGGGCCCAGAGCCCAACATGGCACGCAGCCGGGGCGCGGGCAGGACCCCACACCAGAGCTGGAGGCACCGAAACAGCCAGATGGGGAGGTGGGGGTCACAGGAGCCACCACAGGTGTGGCTGTGAGAAGTAAGAGAAATGCGGAATGTCGGGCGTGAGCCCGCAGCCCACCAACATGCATGTCTGCGGCAGCGAGCTGTCGGGAGCTGTGTGCGAGGGTGATCTGTGTGTGCAGGGGTGAGTTGTGTGCAGGAGTAGTAAGCTGCGTGTGCAGGGGTGAGCTGTGTGTGCGCGTGGGTGAGGTGTATGCAAAGTGAGCTGTGTGCAGGGGTGAGGTGTGTGCAGGTGAGTCGTTCGTGCAGGTGAGTGGTGTGTGCAGGGGTGAGCTGTGTGTGCAAGGGTGAGGTATGTGCAGGGGTGAGCTGTGTGTGGGGTGAGCTGTGCGTGCAGTGAGGTGCGTGTTAGCAGGGGTGAGGTATGTGTGCAGGCGAGTCGTGTGTGGAGCTGAGCCATTTGTGCAGGGTGAGCTGTGTGCAGGGGTGAGGTGTGTGTGCAGGTGAGTTGTTTGTGCAGGGTGAGCTGCGTGTGCAAGTGAGCCGTTTGTGCAGGGGTGAGCTGTGTGCATGATTTATTCGAGTGAGGGGTGTGCACAGGTGTGTGCAGGGGTGAGCTATGTGTGGAGGGATGAACTGTGTGCAGGGTGGGGTGAGCTTGTGTACACAGGGAGGTGCATGCAGGGGTGATCTGTGTGTACCGGGGTGAGCGAGCTATTGGCATGATTTATTTGTGTGCAGGGGTGAGCTGTATGCATGATTTATTCATATGCAGGGGTGAGCTGTGCGTGCAGGTGAGCCGTTTGTGCAGGGGTGAGGTGTGTGCATGATTTATTCGTGTGCAGGGGTGAGGTGTGTGTGGAGGGATGAGCTGTGTGCAGGGTGGAGTGAGTGTGGGCTGAGTGTGGGGTGAGCTTGTGTACACAGGGAGGTGCATGCAGGGATGACCTGTGTGTGCCGGGGTGAGCTATGGGCATGATTTATTCGTGTGCAGGGTGAGCTGTGTGCAGAGGTGAGCCGTTTGTACAGGGATGAAATATGTGCAGGGGTGAGCTGCGTGTGCAGGGGTGAGCTGTGGGCGCAGCGAGGTGTGTGCAGGGTGAGCTGCGTGCAGGGGTGAGCTGCATGTGAAGAGGTGAGCTGTGCGCACGGTTTACTCGTGTGCAGGGGTGAGCCGTGTGCATGAGCTGCACCACCACGTTTAATGCCACACTGTGACAGCTGTGAGCACTGGGGTCGGTGGCCCGGGCTGTGAGCACTGAGCGGTGCCCGCAGAGCCCGACCTGTGGTGAGGCTCACCTCCTTCCCGTCTTCCTGCTCCTGCACCCCCCGAGGACAGGGAGGAGCCGCATCTGACTAGACCAGACCAGACGGGGTGGCCAGCACGACTCCGGCAGAACCAACTCCAGACGCCACGAAGGCCGGGGTGGGCTATTAGGGAAATGACCGCTTAAGGAAGCCCAGGGTCAGCAGGGGCTGCCAGGAGCTGACCAAGACCCCCGGGGTCCTCAGTGCCGCGCGACCTCACGGTTGCCTCCGTGCTTTCCACTTTTCAAGCTTCTGAGTCACCGAGTGTGCCTGGCCTGCCCGGTCTCGGGGGACCCACTCATGGGGAATCCCTGGGGAGCGTGAAGGGCTGGGCACCACGGCAGAAGCTGCTGAAGGCACGACTGTGTGCGTGTGTGTGTGTTTGTGCGTGTGTGCGTGCAGGTGCCCTGGGACATGCCGTGTGGGGACACGGGGTCAGGCCCAACCGCGAAAGCAGGGCAGCCCCCTTTGCTCCAGGGGCTCCGTAGTGGGGGTCCCTGCGGGCAGCCCATGCTCCAGCCCGTGCCCTGTGCGGCCCCGACACGCGCCAGCACATGGGGATATGAAGAGACGGTTTCTGTCCTGGCCAAGTCTTCAGCGTCTCGGCTGATCGGGGCGGCACTGAGGCCTGTGTCCAGGGCAGCGCCAGGCGCAGGACACGCGGCCAGCACGGCAAAGCCCCTGAGTGCGCTGGAGAGCACTGTGCTGAGAGAACTGAGTCGGAGGGAGACTGCTTGGGAACGGCGGGCCGAAGGCAGCAGAGACGGCAGAAAGCTGAGCACGGGGCTGGGGGGGCTCGCTGGGGAGAGTCGCAGGACCCCTGAGCGTAACACACCAACACTGGACACCCTCCGACTGTGACCGTGGGTGTCAGCACACGCCGCCCGGCTCCCTAACCGCTCCGGAGCGGGCACGGAGAAGCCCCTGACGCAAACACCCCCCACCCACCACCCCGAGACCTCCCCGAAGCTCCTGGCCCGGTGCTTCACGACAGAACCTTCTAGACCGAGCGAGCCACAATCACCCTTCCAGAGCACTGACAGCTCAAGTCAAACCCCAGCCGGCCCAGAGGCAGGGCAGGGGCAGCGGCCCCCAGCCCCCAGGGTGACCCGCCCGGCCGGCCACACTCCGCGGCAGCAGCCCCAGGTCCGGCCCGGGTCCGACCGCTCGCAGGGCCAAGGCTCGAGCGGCCCGCGGAGGGGGCCGGGCCGCGGGGCCGCAGGGGGCGAGGGTCGTCTCCAGGCCCGAGGCTGGCGGGGCCGGGGACGCCGCGGGGGCCGGTCCAGGGCCCCAGGGACGCAGGCGCGGGGCCGGGGCTGGGCGCGAGCTGGGCGGGTGGGGAGCCCCCGGCCCAGCCCGGGAGGCCGGAGCGCGCGGGGCGAGGGGAGGGGGCGACGCGCTCCGGGGCCCGCACCCGGCAACGCGCCCGCAGGGGCACCCGCACCCGGACCCGCACCTGCGCCGCCGCCTCGCGGGCGCCCCCCTCCGGCGGCCGGGCCGGGGCGAGCCCGGGGCGGGTGGGGGGGGGTTCGCGGCCCGCGTCCCCCAGGTGCCCTTGGCAGCCCCGGCCCGGCCCGGCCGCCCCGCCCCGCCCCGCCCCGGCCCGGCCCGGCCCGCCCCGCCGCCCCGGCCCGCCCCGGCTCGGCCCGGCCCGGCCCGGCCCAGCCCGGCCCAGCCCGCCCGGCCGCCGCCGCCGCCGCCGGGGGTCCCGCCGAGGGCCGGCGCCCGCGCTCACCTGCGTGCCCACCACCACGATCTGCGGCAGCTGGATGATGTCGGCGCCCACCGTGTTGAACACGTCCTGCAGCTTGTTGATGACCGGGATGAGCGCCTCCATGGTGCCGACCCCGCCCGCCCGCCGCAATGAATGGGGGCGGCCCGCGCGCCGCGCCCGCCCCGCCGCCGCCGCCGCCCATTGGCCCGCGCGCTCCCGGCAGCCCCCGCGCGCCGCGCCGCCCGCCGGGACTTGGAGTCCGGGCGCCGCCCCGGCCGGGGATGCTGCGGGCGGCGCGCGGCCTGCCGGGAGATGTAGTCCGGGTCGGCGCCCCGGCTGGGGATGGTCCGGGCGGCGCACACCCTGCCGGGAGATGTAGTCCCGGCCGGTGCCCCGGGTTCCCGGGGCCGGGCCGGGAGCGGTGACCGCCGGCCGGGCGGGAGGCCGCGTCCTCGGGGTCCCCGGGTCCAGCGGGGCCCAGCGGGCGTGAGAGCGGCGGCCTCGCTGCCTGGGGCCGCGCCCTGCCCTGCAGTCAGCAGCAGACAGACAGTGAAGGTGCGGGCCGGGGGGGGGGGGGGGCTGCCCCGAGCCCCACCCGCAGGCGCCCGGGCTCCGTCCGGGGGCCCCGGGGTGCAGCGGCCCAGGGTCCCGCACGCCCGCGGCCGCGCCCGCGTGATCCGGTCACCCGACGTGTGCGCTGGCCGCTTCCGTGGGGTCATAGACCGTCCCGCGTGGGAACCTCAGAGCCTGAAGGGGCCCGAGTCAGATGCTCGGTCAGACCCGGCACCAGGCAGGCAAATCCCTGCACAACCCTGCCCGGCTCTGCGCAGCCCTGCCCAGCCCTGCCCGGCCCAGCCCGGCCCTGCCCGGCCCTGCCCGGCCCTGCACAACCCTGCCCGGCCCCCAGTGGCAGAGCCTGGGTCCGAGGGAAGGGCCGGGCTGCAGAGCGGCTGAGGGGGCGGGGGAGCAGGGGGGGTGTCTGAGCTTTCCCAAGCGTAAGCAGGGTCCTGCCTGCAGTGTCGCTGGGAGCAGAGGGTCTGCTTGGAAATTCAGAGGGTCTTCTGGGCAGGAGGAGGACACTGTCACAGGCTGCAGGTGGATGCTGTCCCAGCCTGTCAGAAAGCCCCTCCCAGCCGCCCAGGCACTCAAGGTTAGGGTGTAGCCCAGGTAAGAGTGTAGCCGAGGTTAGGGAGTACCCAGGTTGGGTGTAGCCGAGGTTGGGATGTAGCCAGGTTAGGATGTAGCCACCCTAGGGTGTAGCCATCTCACTCCCAAGTCACGGAAATGGAACTCCGCCTGCCCAGCCCTGTCCAGAGAGGACTTAACCCGCGGGGAGCCCCCGGGCCTGGGCAGCTGGGCTCAGCACCACTGTCTGCTCCGGGTCACAGCTCCACGGCTGGCCTGGACCTCGCACTTTGCTTGCACTTTCCACGTCTACCACGGGATGGGCCAGGGAATGTTGGAGCTAAGACCGCCCCCACTCCCCCAGAGGGAGGAAGAGGAGGAGGAGGAGGAGGAGGAGGAGGAGGAGAGGGGAGGAGAGGAGTGAAGGAGAGGGTGGGATAAAGGGGGAAAGGAAGTGGGGGAGGAGAGGAGAGGGAAGGGAAAAGGGGCGAGGAGGAGGGGAGGGGAGGGGAGGGAGTAAGGAGGGAGGGTTGGGCTTCAGCTGGGGGTGGCCCAAGGGCGGTGACCAAGGTGGTGTCCTGGTCACAGGTGCCCCCTCCCAGTCCTCTCCCCTCTGACCACCCACAGTGGGCTCGGGGGCAGGTGGAGGGGTGCAGGACCCGGAGCGGAGGAAGGGCAGGGGGCCTGTCCCCATCCATAGCTGGGGCCTGGCTTGGGCCGTGGCTCAGTAATAGGGGCGTGGGGGGCCCTGGGGTTCAGCAGGCAACCGGGAAGGCTGGTCCTCAGTGCCAGAAACACGCCGCGTGTGTGACCACGGCAGCCCACGTACCCGGGCACACACACGGTGGGGACCAGCAGCAGGGGCAGCCGCGCCAGGCAGCAGGGCTGTGTCCCCGCAGCTCAGCCCCGAGACAGGGGCTGCCTGGGCCCTCAGTCCCCTCCCCCAGGCCCCTGCCCGCGGACCCATCACAGCAGCGCAGCCTCAGCACCACCGAGGAGACCCTGGCCAGTTGGCACCTGCACTGAGGCTGCTTCGCTTTAGAGGGACCCAGAGTATCTTGGCTACAAAGAAGTGACTTTCTGGGCAGAGGCATGAGGAACTTGGGGAGAGAGATTGGGAGTTGTTCCGGCTCCTCCCAAGGGGCACAGCCACTCTGCCAGCCCCTCAGGCTGCGTTTCTTTTTTTTTTAAATTTTTTTTGTTCACACCGGGGGATGCACAGGCGTTTCTCCTGGCTCTGCAGTCAGGAATTGCTCCTGGCGGTGCTGGGGGACCCTATGGGATGCTGGGAATCGAACCCAGGTCGGCTGTGTGCAAGGCAAACACTGTCCTGCTATGCTATCACTCCAGCCCCCAGGCTGTTTCTTTATGTATTTTTGGTTCGGGCCACACCTGGGCGTGCTCGGGGCACACTGGGAGACTGCAGGGTGCTGGGGAGGAGATAATTTTTACTCTTTACTCGTATAAAAAAAAAAGGACAGTTGTAATAGGGAGGCTTATAAGCAACTCAAAAAATTTTAAGGTAAAGGTAAAGGTAAAGGCCCTCCCGTTGTTCATCGATTTGCTCGAGCGGGCCCAGTAACGTCTCCATTGGAGACTTTGTTGTTACTGTGTCTGGCATATCGAATACGTCGTGGGGAGCTTGCCAGGCTCTGCCGTGCGGGCGAGATACTCTCGGTAGCTTGCCGGGCTCTCCGAGAGGGGCGGAGGAATCAAACTCGGGTCGGCCATGTTGGCTGCGTGCAAGGCAAACGCCCTACCACTGTGCTATCGCTCAAAAAATTTTAAAAACTTGGTAAAGCTTGATGGAAACGTGAAGCAAAACTGTAACTTCTCTCAGGCGAACAGGGTCAGCTGATGGCCCAAGAGCACTGCAGACACTCACGGCACACCAGAGCACTGTCCACCCGGCCAGGGCGCTGCAGGGTGGCACAAGGGCCATGAGGGCAGTGAGGCCCGCCTGTGTGGGGTGGCTGACCCACTTCCCAGTGCAGAGTGAAGTCAGAGCTGGGGACCCCCCACCCCACACACACACACACCAACTCTATCTTTGAGCTTGTTCTGCTGCTAACAGGGATCCCAGGACCCAGCCCTGTGAGACACAAGCTCGCCGAGACATGCCCACCATGCCAGCTCCATATCTGAGCACTGGAGACCGCATGAAGTGTCGACTCCACCTTACCTCAAGTGCTGGAGCACTTTTTTCTGAGCCCACCAGTGAGTGGAGCACTTCAAAAAAGTGCTCCACTCACTGGAGTACTTCTTTCTGAGACTGCCAACGTTTCTGACAGCCCAGGCCATTAAAATTTGCGCCTTCTTCCTGCCTGGGGTGCTGCAGTTGGTCTCTGGGCCCTCCCAGGTGAGACGTGTGGCCACCCCGAGCTTCTTCCCACTCCCCCACCCCCTGAGTTGCGAACCAAATAGACACACGCAGTGAAATGACATCACAGCCGAGGCGTCGGTGAAGGGTGACATGTTTATTTACAAGGTACAAGTGCTTACTATTAAAGTGCTTGGTTTCACAACATCTCTGATCTCTGCCACGTGAGCAAATATCGAATATCGCACAATATACACCGACTGCAAGGGTTCTACATTCACAGCTAGAGCAGAGGGGGGACTTGCCGTGGACACGGTCACACTGGAACCACAGGTGTTCCCACAAGGTACTTATCCCACAGATGAGCCAACGATCAGAAACTCTAACACTCCCAAGTTCCGCCAACGGTCACTCACAGATGAATGCTCGCTGGGGATGGACATGGCCCTGGACAGGCTGTGGTGAGGGCACTCCCCCGCCCCCGGCACACTCCACGTCCACGGAACACTGTGAGTCACAGAACAGGCCGTGCCGGCCGCCCCAGGCCACGCTCCTCACGCCCATGCAGACCGACCACGGGTACGCGGCGGGTTCGAGACACCCGGGGAGCAACCCTGGCTTGGTTGGTCAGTCTCCCACAAAGGAGCGTGGGTGCGGGGAATCGGGCCCCACGCGAGGGAGCGGAGCGTGCGGGCGTGCGGGAACTCCCGTCCTGGCCACATCTGGCCGGCGCCGTCCACTCTGCCAGGACGGCACCGGCTCCTCCATGTGGCAGAAGAGAACTCGTCTGCCTCCGCTGAGCCCCTCAGCATGGGCCCGCGGCCACCACCCAAACGTCCTCCCGGAGCAGAGACCCTGCACGCGTGCAGGGCTGTGACGTGGCCCGGTGGGCGGCACAGGCACCGTGTGGGAGCAGGACAGTGGCACGAGCCTGACAGGGCCACCTGAGGCCCACGGGGTGCAGCAGCTCGGAGTGGCGGAGTGTGGGCAGCTTCTCCGCGGTCCACTCTGGGAGGGACACGCACAACGGCCAGACGGCCACGCCCTGAGTACTGTGTGCTTTGTGCAGGAGCCGCGGTGAGGAGCCGGGTCGCCACACAGGCAGCCCACGGGCGGTGGGGGAAGGGGTACCCTGTTTCCCTACAGCAGACACGGGCGCCTCCGCTTACTGGCCGGCTCAACGTCCAGCCTGCCCGCCCTCTGGAGCTTGCCGGGGGCCCCCTGCACCCACGGCTCTGCCAGGGGCCCATCCGGGCCTGCTCCTCTCTGAAGGCAGCCAGTGCCCTGGGCAGGATCCTCAGCTCAGCCCAGGGGAAAGAACACCGGAGCAGCATCAGGAGCAGAGACTGACCTCAGGAACCTCCCTGAGGGCACGACAGGCACACCGCACCCTCACCCCCAGGCGGGCTCCACACACTCACACACACACACACACACACACACACACACACACTCACCACACACAATCACACACAGCACACTCATGCGTACACACACAGACACACATTCGCACTCACACACACTCATGCACACATTCCCACACACGTACACTCATGCACACACACATTCACACTCCCGCTTTCACACACATGCATACACTCCCACACGCAATTCACCTACACACGTACACTCCTACTCACATGAACACACATGCACTCACTCCTACTCATGCATGTGTTCACTCCCACACCCACACCCATACATTTCCAAGCACACTCACACACACACTCACATGCATACTCCTACTCACGTACACTGCCGCGCACACACACCATGCACACACTCCCACACGTACGTGCACACGTGTACACTCACACCTCCTATTCCCACTCGTACACACTCCCTCTCACATACACACTCACCTACGCTCACACACTCCCACTCCTGCTCACACATACACTCACGGAGTTCATATACTCCCCCCCACACTCACACACTCACACACACACACACACACACGGCAAGTAGGAGCAAGAGGCAGTAACACATTCCCCCCAGTCTCCTGACCTTGGGGTGCCAGGAGCCCCTTCTGGCCAGGCTGAGGTGACTCCTGCTTTCACAGAGGAGGGGACCCCAACCGAGTGGCTCACCATGCCGCCTCCTCCTGTCGGGTGGGGGAGAGAGAGAGGCTGCACCGGTGTCTTAGCACCACAGGGCTGCCTCAGTGTCCCCAGTCTTGGGGCAGAGGGAGCCTGGGTTGCGTGGAGGCAGACCTCAAGCTGAGGATGTGGACACAGCGGGTTTGGGAAGGGGAAGGAAGGGGGGGGTGACCTTGGCTCTGCGTCTGCCGCAGGAGCCTCTCTGTCCCCTGAAACTCCCGGGGAGGGGGGACGGGTAGAATCCTCATGTCCCCCGATTCACGTCCAGTAAGAGCCGCTTCTCCACAAGTCCCAGGATGGTCCCTGTCCGCTCCGGCACGGCCACCCACCTAGGGGACTTTGGCTTCACGGGTCCCAGAGGAAGGCGTCCCCAGGAATGTCCGTGTAGAGAGCAGGCGAGAGGGCACGGGTGCCCACGAACGTGGGCTGAGGAGAGGGGACGCGCTGGGAGAGGTCCCGGACCCGTCCGGTTCAAGTTTGGGTGAGCATGTTTGTGCCTGTGTTACCAGAGGTCAGCGAGGGGACAGGGTTCCTGAAAATCCTGGCGTCCCGGGGCCCCAGGGCACCAGACCTCACAGCCCCTGGACGGAGCCGGACGTCAGCTGCGGCCGGTCCTGCGTGGGATGTTAGCACCGTCGGAGAGGCACTGCGCAGAGGCACCGGCCGCACGCGGCTGACACGCTGCGGGGAAGTCACGAGACAGGAAGGACAGACGGTTCCGTTACAAAAATACCAACGCCCTTGTCGGCAGTCCATTATACATTCATCACCCCAACATCACCGTGAAGAACACTGTTCATCCAAGGTAACCATGCGTTGCATTTAAAAATAAATTAGAGGCAGATAGGAACCTAACGCTGGAAAGCACGGAGAGTCTGTACATATATTTATATTTCTATGCGATACAATGTACACACAGTTGCTCGAGATTCCGGAACCTCAGGCTTCCTCTAAGAACGAGCTTCCACCTCAGACTCGCGCACCCTCCGTCCCGCTGGGGGGAACGGACGGTGCCGGCGTCAGCACCGAGTCCCAGAGCCCCGCACCGTTCGAGGCACGCCGGCCGGTGGAGCGCCCGCGCCCCGCGCCAGAGCTCCCTCCCCGGTGCTCGCCCTGGCCCGGCGCAGGCCCCACGGACCGACCCGGGACCTGTGCTTCCGCCGTAAAGTGCTCGGAGGCCAGGGGGCCCGGCCGTGCCAGGGCTCAGCATTCCGATCTCCGACGCAGCTCGGGCGGCTCGTCCCCGGTGTCCGGCTGCTCGTCCGGCCCCTCCAGCGTCTCCCCGCGGACCGCCAGAACAATGACCTGCAGCCACCTCTGCTTCAGCTCCTCGCTGTCGGCGGCAAAGCCGTGCACGGACTTGGACTGCGTCAGCCTGAAGGCGTACGGCAGGTCGGCGCTCCCCGGCAGGTCTCTGACCGTGTAGCCCAGCAGCGGGATGGTGGCCTGCGCCCTCACGTCCTGGGACGGGCACACGGGAGGGCCGTGAGGGCCCAGCACCCCCTTCCCGTGCACACCACGCACACGCACCTGCCCACTCTCACACAGGCACGCGCACACACACCTGCACACTCACACATGCTCGCCCACACATGCGCTCACACACACACATTTTCACCCACTCTCACCCGCGTGCATACTGACACCCATGCACACCCACACACAGGCACACCCACACAGGGGCACTCTCACACAGGCACACTCACATGCAGGCACCCACACTCACACACAGGCACACCCACATACAGGCACCCACGCAGGCACACCCACACAGGCGCACCCACACAGGCACCCACGCAGGCACACCCATCCCCTCACACACAGGCACACCCACACAGGGGCACTCTCACACAGGCACACTCACACACAGGCACACACACACGCATGTACACACACGCCATGCCAGGGAAAAACGTAGCGGAAGCTGCCTGCGGGGGTTCACTCCTGGCACCATGAGCGGGAAAGCCAAGAGAAGCTCAGGGCGTGGACAGACGAGGCCCCAAGTCCATCCCTGAGCGCTGGGCACAGCCCCCCATGGCCCGAGCTCTGCCTGGCCTGGTTCACCAAGTACCACCGGGACTGGTCCAGTCCCGAGCACTGCGTGGGAGCCCCTAAAAGGGGCAGAGCCATTGGTTGCACACGGCCTGAAGAGGGTGAGAACGTCACGACTAGAGCAGCTGACCTGTCCCTACAGCCGCCGTCAAGCGGACTACGGGCAAACAGGGCTCCAGGTGAATGGCCAAAGGGTCTGAACAGCCCCAGGCCACCCGCACTGGCCCTCGGGCAGACAGGCGCCACAGCTCGGGCACACGGTGTGCACTCGGCGGGACATGGTTGCCCGTCCCCTGCTTCCTGCTGCCTCCCGTCCAGGGGACCCCCACCCTCCCCATGCCGCCTCATCACCCCCGCCCCATCCCTGCTCAGCCCTTCCCACTGAGCCCGACAGGGAGCGACTCGGGGGCCCCAGGACATGGAGGCTTCCCCTGGCGAGCCGATTCCTGACACCCTGCGCCAAGCCGATGCCATGGAGGTCCCGGGCGGTGCCCCTACCTGGGGGGCGCCGTACATGTACAGCACCAGGGGGTCCTGCTTGGGGATCACACACCACGCTTTCTGCCATGGCTTCGACTTCTCCATGTACTGCAGGAAGCTGCACACCACGCTGTTTCCGGACACTTCTGCAGACTCGATCTGAGGGTACGAAGGGACACAGGCGTGAAACGGGGCGTCCGCGCACAGCTGCCTGCCCTGCCCGGTCTGATGAGTCCACGCAGACACCGAGATGCCGGGTTTCCTGCCGTCTCTGCAGACCCACGCCACAGGTGGAGCGATGACCTTCCGTGACGACAACGGCCAGCACCTGCTTCTCTCTCGCCGCTGCCCGGCTCTTCCGCGTGGAGGCCCCAGCAAGACTGATTCCACACGTGAGTCAGTATCTTGGGAGGCCAGATACTCGTGGTCACAGCCCCAGGCTGGGCTAATCCCGCCAGAGCGCCAGGAGCCGCCCCCATGCACCTGCATTGCCTAGCCACGGCGGCAGGGGGCTGGCGGCGGGGACTGGCGCAGCGTCTCCACCAGCGCGCAAGCGATGCGTGTGGGGCTTTCAACCCCGGCAGGGGGAGCCCGAGAGAAGCTTTCCTGTTCATGGCTGTGGGGGCCTGGAGCCCGAAAGCCCAGAGACACCCAAACCCCTCAGCCCGAGCGGCCCTGGGGCCGCAGGCACCGCCAAGCCCTGACCCAGGAGAGGCCGGCCTGGCCCCAGCCGCCCACCCCCAGGGTGCCTCTCCCCTCCCTGCCCTCGGCCCGCGCCCCCCCCCCCCGCAGAGCCCCCCACCTCCAGGATGCCTCTCCTCTTCCTGCCCTCGCCGTCCGAGCAGCCGATGATGAGCAGGTAGCAGTCCCTGCAGACCTTGCTCAGCTTCCCGCCGTCGTACTCCAGCTGCGCCTTGTAGTCCGAGCACCTCCAGCAGACCACCTGGGAGAGGACGGGCAGTGAGCGGCCACGTGCGGGAGGGCGGGAGGGTGCCCGCGCCGCCTTTCAGGGACCGTCTGCACGGCCCCTCTCATGGATCCTGAGAGCGGCCCTGGGTGGCCAGCGGGGCCCCGGGCAGGTGCAGGGACGAGACTCTCGGTGCCGCCCCAAGCTTCCCTGGAAAACCATCCACCATCCGCTAGCTCAGAGAACGGCCTCTTGCCTCCATGTGGGGGCGTCCCGGGCCCCGGGGCGGTGAGACCTTCTCCTCCGCTCAGCATCTCGTGGCTTGTCCATAAGATGGGCACCTCCCTGTGCTGCAGAGCCCTGTCCACCCACAGGCCAGGGGCTCGCGTGCTGGACTCAGACCGATGACCTGTGTGCACTTATGGACAGCAACTGCGCCGGTGACCGCGAGAGCACTCAGGGCTGAGTCTAAAGTCTCAGGGGGACAAGAGCCCCCACAGTCCACCAAGTCCCTCTGGACCATGGGGGCCAGCGCTGCGCCTGCAGGACACTTGGCAGCTGCCCTTCTGAGGCCGTGAGGCCCACACGTGCTGGGCCACCCACAGCTCTGTCCCTCCTCGAGCTTCCCCGTGACACAGCGTGGACATCCGGCCCTCCGGCCCGCCCCACGCCCTGTCGGTGTCAACTCAAACGACAGCCAGAAAGGTCAGGGTTTTCTGACTCAAGCTGGTCCCTGGTTCTCCTGATGCTCACCACTCTGAGTGCTGCCCTGTCCCTCTGCAATGACCACAGGGAGGACAGCAACAAGAACAGTTATACTGACCAGCAGGGGAACACTGACCACATGGGCTATACTGACTACATGGGCTATACTGACCAGCACACTGTATAGTGACCACATGGTCTACACTGACCAGCACAGGTTATACTAACCGGCACGTTGTACACTGACCACATGAGCCATACTGGCCAGCATGGGCTATTCTGACCGGCATGGGTTATACTGACTGCATGGGCTATAGTGATTGGCACAGGCTACACTGACTGACACAGGTCATACTAATCAGCACATTGTATACTGACCACATGGGCTATACTGACCAGCATGGGCTATACTGACTGGCACGGGCTATACTGACCGGTATGGGTTATACTGATCGGCACACTGTATACTGACCGACATGGGCTATACTGACCAACATGAGTTATACTGCCCTGCATGGACTATACTGACCGGCATGGGCTATACTGACCAGCACGGGCTATAATGACTGGCAGAGGTTATGCTGACCAGCACACTGTATACTGACCATCCCAGGCTATACTGATAGACACAGGCTACACTGACCAGCACGGGTTATACTGACCGGCATAAGCTATATTGACCAGCACTGTTTATACTGACCACATGAGCTATACTGACCAGCACAGGCTATACTGACCAGCATGGGTTATAATGACCAGCACAGGTTACACTGATCAGCATAGGTTATACTGATCGGCATGGGCTATATTGACCAGCATGGGCTGTAATAACCACACAGGCAATACTGACCAGCATGGCTTATACTGACTGACATGGGCTATACTGACCAGCATGGGCTATACTGGCTGGCATAGGCTACACTGACCGGCATGGGTTATACTGACCGGCACACTGTATACTGACCGACATGGGCTATACGGATCAACATGAGTTATACTGCCCGGCATGGACTATACTGACCAGCATGGGCTACACTGACCATCTCAGGTTATACTGACCAGCATGGTTTCTACTGACCGACATGGGCTATACTGACCAGCACAGACTACACTGACCAGCACTGGTTCTATGGCCTAGGGCCTGGCTGCCCTTTTAGACTGGCCATGTTCATCAATTTGATCAGTCAGTGACGAAATGCTCGGTTCCGACCGCCATCTCCTGGCTGGGGGCTGGTTTCCGTCTGCCCGTGTCCTCCCTCCCCGCTCCCCACTGGGCCCAGGGGCCGGGCCCCGAGAGCAGGACTCACGTGTCCACACGCCCGGCAGTGGTGCCTGCGCCGCGTGAGCGCGTTGAAGGGCTCCCGGCACTTCATGCACATGGTGACCTCGTTGTCCCGGATCCAGCGCGGGGCTCTCCTCCCCAGCTCGGCGTGCTGTGGGATGCCACAGCTCAGCACCGCTCCACCGGGCATGGGGCCCAGGGCGCAGGGCAGAAACCAAGGGCACAAGAGCGAGGGCACAACAGGCCAGCCTGGGCACCTGGGCATAGGGGGGCTGACCTGGGCACCTGGGCACGGGGTGGGGGGCTGACCTGGGCACCTGGGGACAGGGAAGAGTGACTGGGCACATGGGCAGCGCCTGTCCCTGCAGCCCGCGGCCATGTGTGGGGAGAGGCAGAGCTTCGCAGAGGGCAGGTCTGACTCACCGAGACCTCGGTGGGGCTGTCGCTGTCCTTGGCAATGGCGCTCCGGAAGGTCTCGTGCCTCTGCTGGAACATGTCGATGGTCTCCTGCAGGGCCTGCGTGAACAGGGGGCGGGACGGGGCTGCAGGCTCACCTCAAAGAGGGCCAGTGCACGCACCGAGGACAGGGTCTGCAGGCGTCACAGGTGAGACACGCATTTGCCAAGTGAGCAACACACAGAAGGGACAACATATGTCCCGTGTGCACACAGGGAGCACACATATGTCAAGTGCACACAAGGAGGGAGCACATAAGGGCCCTGTGGGCACAGTGAGGGAGCACACGTGCCGTGTGGGGACAAGGAGGGCATCATATATGTGCCATGTGCACAAAGCGAGGGAGCACACATGTGCTGTGTGGGGACAGGGAGGGGACCGAGTGAGGCGAACACAGAACAGGCAGCAGCTCACCTTGATCCACTCCTCTTTGTCCTGTTCGGAGCTGAAACAAAGGGACCCCAGTGAGCAGACACCAGAGCCACGTCACCGCACGGACACAAGGTGACAGGTCTGGCCTGGGGGAGCACGGGGAGGGGGTCCGGGGAGAGCAAACGCCGGAATAGCACAGCTGGCACCAGCGTGGCCACACTCAAGGCAGAGGTGTGGACACACGTGCACTGGGCTTTGGGGGGCCCTATGAGGACTGGGGTGGTGCTAGTCCCCCCCCCCCCGCCAGGTGAGGAGCCTGCGCCCCGGCTGGTGTGAGCTCCTGCCACATGTCGCCCGGCTGGCACGGCCATGTCGGGTCATGCCCCACTGTTAGGGTCGGCATGTGGGTCTGCGGGCACTAAACACCGAGACCACGAAGTCTCAGCTGCAGCCACAGAACTCTAGAACGTGCCAAGGAGGCGGGTAGGGGGGCGGGAAGTGGACAGTGGGGGGGTGGGGCCGGGGGCGCTGGTGCCTCAATCTTGTGTGCCTGAAACCAACCGTCAGCGTCTTTGTAAATCACAGTTCTTTAATGAACTGTATTAGAAAGGCCACACCTGCCTGGGGACGGAGGGTTTCAGCCCGTGTGCGGGGAAGTTCCGTGAGGCGGGGGCAGGGAGACCCTCTCTGAGGTGCGAGGTAGCTCTTCCCGCCGCCCACGGTCCCCTCACGATTCTCCCAACCACGCGAGTCAGGACTCCTGCCCGGGGGGGGGGGGGGACAGCGGGCCCCTCGAGGGGACGCTCACCTGGCCTGCAGCTCCAGGGTCCTCTCCTTGCCGGACACCTGGAAGGTGTGTGGGTACTCCTCGTTGTGCGTCTCCACCACAGTCATGCCGTCGACACCCACGCGCGTCCGCACGGTGAACTTGGAGCCCACCAGGGTGAACTTGGGCACACAGTAGAGAAGCATGTTGTTGAACTGTAGGAACATGTCGGGGCCAGTCAGGGGCCAGCCAGGGGCCAGCCAGGGGCCAGCCAGGGGACAGTCAGGGACAGCCAGGGACAGTCAGAGAGTGTCAGGGTCAGAGACAGTCAGGGACGACCAAGGGACAGCCAGACATGGTCAAGGATGGTTAGGACACAAGACATATGTCAGGACATGTTTAGGACACAGCACACACCAGAGCACACGTCAGCACACACTACACACACACAGAGGGGCTGCAGCTGCGGGTGCAGCAGGCCAGGGAGCCTTTGCCCATGTGCGCATGCGAGGTCAGCAGGCCGCTGGGTCCCGCCTCGCTGAGAGCAGATGTGGGCCAAACTCTGGCCCCACTTTGCAGGGTGCTACAGGGCATGTGGCAACAGTGTCCCCGTGGCTCCTCTGCCCCCAGCTATTGGCTGGGTGACCACACTGATTATCACTCTGACCCTGACAGACACATGAGCGTGTTGAGTGAATCGCACTCGGTCTGCCCCAGGACAGAGCCTGCTCTTCTGCCCGGATCCTTTGTGTCTGGGGCCTGGTGGTGCTCAGGGCTCGCTCCTGGTGGTGCCAGGGAACCCTCCACGTGCCAGGGTCTGAAGCAGGGTTGGTCACATGTAAGGCAAGTGACTCCCCCCGGCACGATTTCTCAGGCCCCTTTCCACTCTTACGAACGGGCCTCCCTGCAGTGGCCAAGGGCGCTGTGTGCGACAGTGAACAGCCGTCCTGGAGCATGCGGCTGAGTCCCCTGCCAGAGGAGACACTGGGCCAAGAGAGTGACACAGAATCTGGGGGACATGGGGCAGGAGGAGCCGCCGTGACAGGGCTGCACGCTCGCTCACGGCATGGCGCCGGGACTGTGCAGACAGTCCTGCCAGCAGACAGAGCCACGGGCTGACACGGACATGCATGCCACAAAGACACGAGGGCGCAAGCAGAGCGGAGCCGCAGGGACAGAGATGACGGAGAGACGGTAGGACAGAGACAGGGAGAGACAGCAGGACAGAGATAGGGAGAGACAGGGGGACAGAGATGACAGAGAGATGGCGGGACAGAGACGAGGGAGAGACAGCGGGACAGAAACGAGGGCAGGACAGGTGCAGGCCGTAGCACTTCGTAGCAGCTCTGGACTCGTGTGGCTGAAGGGACGAAGAAGCGAGTGGCCACAGAGCTCACACACATGTGCACATGCACACGCACAGACACATGTATGTAAACATGCCCACACATGCGTATCTGAACATGCATGAACAGACATGTCGACACGGGCACCCACGCGGGCACACGCTCCGCAGGCCAGTCCCTGTGGAGGGTGAGGACAGGACCGCGGGGTGGCCGAGCGCGGCCCGCACACTCACCAGGAAGAGGTGGCGCTCCTGAGCGGACGTGTTCCTCGCCGCCAGCTTGAGGATCTGCCCCTCCTTGATGAGCTCGTTGCTGGGGTTCACGATGTCCTCCTCCTCACCCAGCATCTCGTACACCTCCATCAGCTTCTTCAGCTTCTCCTGGGGAGGCAGGGCACAGCGGCTGGGGACAGGCCTCCCCGGGGGCGGGCCCTGGGAGGAGCATCGTGCTGGGGGCGGGGGACCCCCATGCGGACAGGCCGGCCCGGGCCAGGACTCACCATCTTCCGGATGGCACTGTTGGAGTGGCTGGCTGCCGTGGAGATGATCTCCAGCGACTCTGAGGGGAGAGAGCGGGGAACAGTGTCACGCTGCAGAGAGCGGAGAACAGTGTCCACCCTACAGAGCTGGGCAGCGGAGAACAGTGTCCAGCCACAGGGCCGGGCAGCAGACTGGAGAGCAGAGGCCGGATCCCTTCAAACCGGCACCTTGGGAAGCGCCTGTGCATAGCCGTGGGAAGGGAGAGTTGTCCCCCATCAGATGTCACCAACAGGCCGGGCTCCAGGGTCCCTGGGCCGTGAGGGGCTCCACACATACGGCTGGGAGCTCCCCTCCCCATCACAACAAGAAATCCCCCCCAGAACCAAGGGCGGGCGTCTGCTCTGCAGGCTGGGGACAGGAGAGGGGTGCTCTGGCTAAGGCCTGACCTCGTGGGTCACATCTACCACTGGGTCTGAACTCTGGCCTGACATACATCGGCAGTCAGGTCTGAGAGTTTGCAGGCAAGTGACCGGCCAGGCACAGTCACCTCCAGGGGACCGTGCCAGGTCAGTGTGGGCCACCAAAGGAGCCTCCGGATGCCAGGCTGCGGCAGGCTGGCGCTGGGCCAGGGACAGGCAGAGGGCATGGCGAGAAGGCAACACGGCAAGAGAGGCCTGGCCAGGGCGGGGGTGGCCCCTCCCCCCAGGCACAAGTGCAGGGTGCAGGGGCTGGAGGAACCGCCAGAGGGGTCCAGGCACTGGGTGAGGGTGCAGGGAGGACTGTCTGGGGTTCGGGCACTAGGAGAGGGAGAAGGGAGGACTGTCCGGATTCGGGCAGGCATGGGGGGCTCACTCTTGGCGTCGGCCCAGTCGGGGGCGTCGGGGGGCAGCTTGCGCAGGTAGTCCTTCAGGAGCAGCTCGTAGCGGGGCACGCGCTGCACGGGTTCCAGCATGTGGTGCTGCAGACTCAGGCTCCCACACACCTTCTGGCTCTGCGGCGAGAAAGGGGCACACGGGAGGTTCAGCCCAGGGCAGCCGGCCCTGGCCGCGAGCGGACAGGAAGCACCTAGGAGAGCACGCAGACGAGGCCGGGACACAGGCAACGGGCTAGCACGCTGGTACTGCGTGTCGCCAGCACCTGGCCTGGCCCAGCAATGGCGGCTGTGGCCCCCAGTCCCATGGCAGGCGAGAGTGCGAACACGGAGCAGCAGAGGCCCCCGAGAAGAGGTTCGCAGGGCTCGAACCATAGCAGAGGGTGATCCCTGACTGCCGGAGCTCCAGGCGGATGGCCCCTGGGCCTCTCTCGACTCTCAGTCGGAGCTGGGTGGTGTGAGGGAGGAGGTGGGGTTCCGGGGACCCAGTGAAGGCCAGGGACACGCAGGGCAGCACCCCAAGGCCCATAGCATGCCCCCGGCCCAGTGTGAGCACTGTTGTGGGAGTCGAGCAGAAATCACTGTGGCCATAGTCACCTGCATGATCTAGATTTGGGGACACTCTCGGGGATGAGAAGAGAAAATGGGGAGCATCACTGCAGAGTCTCCCCAGGAAGGAAGCAGGGCCGCCCCACCCTGGCCGCCCACAGTACCTGGATGTCGTCCACCACCGCCTTGAACTGGGGGCTGCGCTCCATCGTGCTCTTGACCAGCTCCGTGGCGTGGTCGAAGCCCTTCACGTACTCCCCGTACATCTTCAGGAAAGGCGCCAGCTTCTGCAGGATGTCACCGATTCTCGGGGTGGTCTCCCTGGAGTCAGTGCAGAAACACGCCGCTGAGATTCTTCTAGAAAGAGTGTTGCCAGACTCGAGACGCACGGGCCACTTCCCCAGCGCCCTCCCTCCCTGGAGCGTGGGCGTGGCCACGCAGGCTGGTACTCCAGGCAGCCACATACTCTGCGGCCCTTTGAGCCAGATCCTGGGGCCCAGCTGGAACCTTGAGGCTCCGGATCACTCAGTTTGTGTCTCCTCCCTCCAGAGAGAGACCTGTGCCTTTTCCCTGACAGCGTTCAGCCCCGCAACACTGGTGCGGCGCTGGGATGGCCCAAGAAGCAGGGCCCGTGGGCCTCTGGTGCACGTCCCAGCCCTGCCGGAACCTTACCACTCCTGCATCCGTTTCTCCAGTTCAGGAAGGAGGAATTTACTGTGGAAGGCATTGATGGACGAAATATTAGAGAAGATTTTATTCACCACCTCGACGGGAAACGAGCCTCGGTTCGCTTCATCCAACAGTCTGCAGTAAAACACCTAAACAAGAGGAACAGTCTGCAGTGAAAACTGAGCAAGGGGTACAGTCTGCAGGGAAACACCTGAGCAAGGGGAACAGTCTGCAGGGAAACAGTCGAGCAAGAGGAACAGTCTCAGGGAAACAGCCAACGAAGGGGAACAGCCTGTAGGGAAACAGCTGAGCAAGGGGAACAGTCTCAGGGAAACACCCAGACAAGGGAAACAGTCTGCAATGAAACACCAAGCAAGACACCCGGGCAAGGGAAACAGTCTGCAGGGAGACACCTGACACCCACGCGCCCCAAGAGAGTGAGAGCAAGTGAGCTTCTGCATTCCAAGTCCAGAACTCGAGCCAGAATGCCCGCACAGTGCCCCCAGAGGGCCCCCACTGGGGTTTCTCTGCAGCTCCTCAGGGTGTCAGAGCCTGAGCCCGCTGGGCACCCCGCTCGCCTGGCCCTGCTATGGTGGTGTGTGCTGAAGAGCTCTTCTCACCAACACTTGAACCCACGTTTCTCCAGCGAGAAGCAGCTTCCCTGCCAAGTACCTCACAGGGCAGCAGGAGGCCCCACCAAGCCACCTGACCAACTCTTGCTTTTCCCACCCGTAACAGGGCAGGGACCACGCTGCCCGCATGCCTCTTGCCTTCCATGGTGGGTAGGATGAAGGCCCTCGTGCGACCCTCAAGGCCCCGGAGAGCCGGGTGCCTGGAGACGGGGGTGAATCCTTCGGAGGGCCTGGCCGAGGGCTGACCTGTGCCAGTCAGAGGCGCAGAGGCGGCTCTGGGGTGAAGTTCATCACCCTTCTGGTCTCCAGACAGGGTTTGGGACATGCGACGCTGCTTTTCCAACCAAGGAGGGACCCCAGACTGCCCGGTCCACCTGTGCCCCAGTTACTCAGCGCCACAAACAGCGGAAAGGGGAAGAAGCATTACCTGGTCCAGGAGGTTGAGTCGGCTGACGTAAGCTCTCTCCGTGAGCAGAAGCTCGGTGGCTATCTTGTGAAGCTTTTGCTCATTCGTCTCCTGAAAGCAGAGTATCCACATGTGGGGAAGTAGAGCATGGGGCTGCTTCTCAGGCAACCGACAGCTCAGCCCATGGTCGGACCAAGACCGTCTGCGCTCGTTTCTCAGTCCTGAAGGACAGCAGTGAGAGCCGTGCGGAGCTATCCTCACCCCTTGCGGCCCTCAGGCTGCCCCCAAAACTGGGCCAGTGTGCCACCAGCACAGCCCACAGGACACCCTCTTGTCCCAGCACCCACCTGCCGCCACCCGCCTCCATGTCACAAATATCAAACCTAAACATTTACTTGGAGGGAAGGCATTTGGGCCACACCTGGCTGTGCTCAGGGCTTGCTCCCGGCTCTGTGCCCCTGGATCACTCCTGCTCGGAAACCGCGTGGGGTGCCGGAGACAGAACCTGGGTCGGCCGTGTGCAGAGCAAGCACGCTGCTTGCCACGTTACGGCTCCAGCCCCAAACCTAACCAGGACGGTTTCTCAGCAGGTACTGACCCTCCCCACCCGCTCCCTCACAATGCCCCATGTGCTGAGGCTCTGCCGTGAGGCTCCAGCACAGACTGGAGGGATGGAGGCTGCAGGGAAGAGGCAACTCATGCCACACTGACTCTGCTGGGCGTTTGTCACCTTCTCGTGTACCATGAACTGCACTGCCTCTCCCCCACTCACAGAGCGCAAAGTCCTGCTGGCTCTTCTTTCCCCTCAAGAATTTTTAACTGAATCATTGTGATTTGCAGCACAGCGGTAGGGCGTTTGGAGCAATAGCACAGCGGTAGGGCGTTTGCCTTGCACGCACCCAACATGGCCGACCCGAGTTCGATTCCTCCACCCCTCTCGGAGAGCCCGGCAAGCTACCAAGAGTATTCGATATGCCAGACACAGTAACAACAAAGTCTCCAATGGAGACGTTACTGGGCCCGCTTGAGCAAATCGATGAACAACGGGAGGACTGTGACCATGGACTGTGACCATGACCGATTGTCATACTGGTCCCTTCTCTATCTTACCTACGCTCCGCCCCACACACACTGGTGGTAGATTCCAACCACTGACTAGTACTTATAGCCCTTGTTTTCCCTGGCCTTCGATATTAGTCTTCATGTATATATATTCATATCCCACAAACAAACGCATTCTATATCTGTCCCTCTCCTTCCAAGCCATTTCACTCAGCATGACGCTCTCCATGTCCATCCACTTATATGCAAATTTCATGACTTCATTTATCCTAACAGCTTTGTAGTGTTCCATTGTGTAAATGTGCCATAATTTCTTTGTCCATTTGTCTGTTCTTGGGCACTCAGGTTGTTTCCAGATTCTGGCTATGGTGAACGGTGCTGCAACGAACATAGGCGTGCAGATGGTGTTTCTGCTGTGTACTTTTGGGCCCTCAGGGTATGTTCCCAGAAGTGCTATTGCTGGGTCATATGGGAGTTCTATTTCTAGTTTTTGAGGAATGTCCATATTGTTTTCCAAAAAGGCTGGAACAGTTGGCATTCCCACCAACAATGAAGGAGAGTCCCTTTCTCCCCACATCCACACCAACACTTGTTGCTTTTGTTCTTTTGGATGTGTGCCAGTCTCTGTGGTGTGAGATGATGTCTCATTGTTGTTTTGATCTGCATCTCTCTGATGATTAATGATGAAGAGCATTTTTTTCATGTGCCTATGGCCACTCAAATTTCTTCTGTGAGGAAGTTTCTTTTCATTTCTTCTCCCCATTTTTTGATGGGATTGGATGATTTTTTTCTTGTAGAGTTCAACCAGTGCTTTGTATGCCTTTGATATTAACCTCTTATCAGAAGGGCATTGGGTGAATATCCTTTCCCATTCTGTACACTGTCTTTGTATTGTGGTCACTGTTTCCTTTGAGGTGCAGAAGCTTCTTAGTTTAATGTAGTCCCATTTGTTTATCTCTGCTTCCACTTGCTTGGTCAGTGTCGTTTCATCTTTGATGATGCCTTTAGCTTCAATACTGTGGAGGGTTTTGCCTATATTTTCTTTGATGTTCCTTATGGATTCGGGTCTGATGCTGAGGTCTCTAAGTCATTTTGACCTGAATTTTGTGCATGGTGTTAAGAGCCTGTTGGTTCTAACCCAGAATCCCAAAGGACTGAACATTCACCCACCTGAGTGACGTCCCCCCTCAGTGAAAGGGGGGACATGCGGGCATCGAACCCTGAGGTTCCCCAAGGTTTTCGGCTGATCTGACATATCCGGTGAGTGCTGCTCCCTTGCCCCCAGGGCCCCCTCCCACCATTTTCAGCCCTAGGGCTGTTCTGAGCTGACAGGTCACGAATCTCTCCTCCAAGCATCCTCTAGGCATGTTGCATGTCAGCTCTGGGCCCATCTGGGTTCACAGAGACAGACACTGGCCTTTCTGTGCGGGTTCCAGATGGCCGACAAACACACGCCATGCTCTGGCTACCGGCACCCGGACCCTGACACTGATGAGCAGATGGAGTCTTTCTGAGGAGCTTTGTCTGGGGGGATCCATTTCTGCCTCCACCTGTTCCACTGCAGAAAGTCCAACACAGACTCACATATCCGGGTGTCTTCCCTGATCTCCAGCACACAGGTGGGGCCCGGCAGGCATGACTGGCCATGGGCAAATATCATGACGCACATTCCCTCAGATCCTGGCTCTGGCGAGCACCTTCCAATAGCCCAGAGCACCCGCAACAGAGTTATTATACCCATACATCTCTCAGTACAGCGCTCCTGACAGTGTCATGCTCACACACCCCTCAGTCACCACAGAGCTGTAACAGAGTCATGTCTACACACCCATTAGTTAGTACAGCACCCATGACGGAGTCATCCCTACACACCCCTCAGTCACCACAGAGCTGTGACAGAGTCGTCCCCATATACTCCTCAGTCACCACAGTGCTGTAACAGAGTCGTGTCCACACACCCTTCAGTTAGTACAGCACCCGTGACAGAGTCATGCCTACACACCCTTCAGTCACCACAGAGCTGTGAGAGAGTTGTGCCTACACAGCCCTCAGTCACCAGAGCACTGTGATAGAGTCATGCCCACAGAGCCCGAAGTCATCATAGCACTATGAGAGAGTCATGCTCACAACCCCTCAGTCACCCCAGCACTGACAGAGTCATGTCCACACACCCCTCAGTTATTACAGCAGCCACGACAGTCATGCCTACACACCCCTCAGTCACCACAGAGCTATAGTATAGTTGTGTCCACATGCCCCTGTCACCACAGCACCTGTGACAGTCGTGCCCACATGGCTGTTAGTCATCATAGCACTGTTATAGAGTTGTGTCCACATACTCCTTAGTCATCATCATAGCACCATGACAGAATTATTCCCACACACCCCTCAGTCACCACAGCACTACACAATGTCATGTCCACATGCCCCTCAGTCACCACAGAGCTGTGACAGAGTTGTGTCCACACACCCCTCAGTACAGCAACCGTGACAGAGTTGTGCCTACATACCCCTCAGTCACCACAGAGCTGTAACAGAGTCATGTCCACACACTCCTAAGTCACCACAGAGCTATAACAGAGTTGTGTCCACATGCCCCTGTCACCACAGCACCTGTGACAGTAGTGCCCACATGGCTGTTAGTCATTATAGCACTGTGACAGTCGTGTCCACATACTCCTTAGTCATCATAGCACTATGACAGAGTCGTGTCCACACACCCCTCAGTCACCACAGAGGCTGCAACAGTCGTGCCCACGTGGCCCTTAGATATCATGGCACTATGAGAGTCTGTCCGCAAACCCCTCAGCCACCACAGTACTATGACAGTTGTCTCCACACACCCCTCAGTCATCACCCATGACAGAGACATGTCCACATACCCCTCAGTCACCACAGTGCTGTAAGAGTCGTGTCCACACACCCTTCAGTTAGTACAGCACCCATGACAGAGTCGTGCCTACACACCCCTCAGCCACCACAGTGCCTGCAACAGTCGTGTCCACAAGGCCCTTAGTAATCACAGCACTGTGACAGTCGTGCCTACATACCCCTCAGTCCGTACAGTGCCTGAGAAGGAGTCATGCTCACACACCCCTCAGTCACCATAGCACCCATGACAGAGCTGTGCCCCACACCCCTCAGCACAGCACCTGTGACAGTTGTTCTCACATGTCCCAGTCACCACAACCTCCATGACAGAGTCATGCTCACATATCCCTCAGTCACCCAGCATCTGTGACACAGACCCTGTGGCAGATTCATGCCCACACACCCACCACCACAGCCCACCAGGTCTGAGGACAAGTTTGAGCAGAAACAAGCTTCTGCCTGCTGTGGGTCAGGCCTTGGCCGCTTGGAATGCACAGTGGGCACTTGGTCAGGCACACAACCCAGCAGTTCCTTCCAATGGCCCCACTGCCCCACAAATGGCCTTCTGGAACAGGGCTCCTGGCCAGGCTACACCACCACAGTTAACAAAAGTGAGCTCTGAGTCACTAGATCAGCCACTCGTACTTCAAAGCTCCGCAGGCTCCATGGGCACTGCTGGAGGGTGACCCAACAGCAGCATGTCGACTCCCTCACAGGGTGGGGGTGTGCCCAGCTCTCCTACACTCACTTCTATAAACTCATCAATCCTACAACTCTGTAGAACAGGTGCCACCAACACACTTACACATTTAGGCACAGCCACACTCTCACACATTCACAGACAGTCACTCTCACATTCATACACAGTCACACCCTCACACATACAGCCACACTCTCACACATTCACAGCTACATACATTTGCACACACAACCACTCTCACACGTTCACACACAGCCACACTCTCACACATTCATGCACAGCCACAATCTCACATATTCACACCCAGCCACTCTCACACATTCATACACAGCCACTCTCACACATTCACACACACAGCACCACACGCTCATACATTAACACAGTCACACTCACACATTCACTCTCACAATTCACACACAGTCACACATTCTCACACTACACACATTCACATTTACACAATCACATACTCGCACACACA